CAAAGAGCCGAACGAAATTTTCGCACAATAAATTGCGTTTTGAGGTCAAGCGAATTAAACTCGCCACTTGCCACGCCCACAACACTACCGCCCCATACTCGTAGTTTGGGCGTCACAACTCGTTAAGCAATTAGATCAACCTCAAAAAATGTTGTGACTCACTCGCAAAGCAACAATACAATTTAAACTTTGTTAGTTGTTTACATTATCGGTCAGGACCATACGTTCCGGCTTCTTGGAAAGCGACCTGATTACGCGAATCGTAAACTCTGTTAAAAGCTATAAATGCAACAATTTGCATTTCTGTAATCTTCACGGTCCCCCGGCAAGCAAATGCTGCTGACAATGCGGTAGCTACAGGGAACTCTCGAAAAGAGAGAATACTCTGTTAAACGAACTAAGTTAAGATAAGAAATATTTACATTGTCTGGGGAACTATAAATGTGATTCATTTTAGTAAAAACTAAAATTTAAAAATATTGAAAATTATAAATCCTTCTTAAAATTAAAAAGGACACAATCTGCGTTCACCCCAGACTTTAATTAGTTCTCTGAGAGAGAACATCTCTCCATTAAGAGTTCCCCTGTCTATATTATGTCCATCTCTCTTCCACCTCCCACACTCTGTGGCCCATTCACTTAGCCCACTGTCTGCCTCATTGTGCAAATATAATTAACATAACGTAAAGTAATCGCAACTTTGTGCAAAGAAAAACGAAAATAAAAATCTTCGTTTAACTTTCTTTTGTGCGACGCTCAGCTTTGCCGCCGACTGAGGCAGAGGCCTTGCCATTGTTGTCTTTGATTTTTCCTTTCTTGGCCCGCGAGCATTAAGCGCGTTTTCCGTTAGGCGAGCGTTATTGTTGTGCTTGTAATTCCGATTATCACAGCAGACGGAACTTCCCAAAAGTCGGAATTACAGAAACTCAAATGGGATTTACTTATGTATGTACGTTGGCGACGATATTCCCTTTAAATGTTTGCTTTATTCAAGGTTTGAGCTTGTCTAGATGTCATTTACAAACAAATCCACAATGTCTTTAACTTGTGCTATGAATAGTTTGGATTGTTCCTGAAATAGAAGAGGCTTATGAATAATATTAGCAAGTACTATTTATTACTGTCTTCCCATTTAGTGTTAATATTGTTTTATAATAGTTTAAAACTGATTGATAACCAATTTAAAGTTCTTAAAAATATCCCGAATTTTCCCCAGTATATAATTATAAACCTCTTGAGCTCATCCTCACCCCGGGGCAATTGCTGTCAAACCGTGAGGCGACTCTCTGTCCACTTTGTTGCTCCTATTTATGCATTTGTTTGCCGGCCAGTTTTGACAGCCTTTGTATTTGCATAGGCAACGATGACGTCCATTTAGAACCTGCAGCAAACGGAAAGTGTGGACTCAGCTGCAGACTGGGGGAAACGACACAATGAAAACACGGACTGCTGCTGCCAACACGGTGTTAAACGAAAGGCGCTGCGGACAGATGACACAGGCACACACTACACAGCCCAGAACTACACACTACACGCTACGTAGATACAGCTACAGATACAGATACTTGTATCTGGCAGTCCGGGTATTTTGAACTCGTGTAATCTCTGCCATTGTGCTGAGCTTTGCAGCTGCAAAAAAGTGAAAAAATGCGCTGAATTGGGTCACACTCGTTGGCTTTTATGCCAGCTTAGATTGTTGTCAATGCCTCCGCCTCCGCCGCCTCCAGCTCTCCCAACCGAGTGGAAACTTTTTTGACTAACTTTTTGAGTATCAGTTCTTTGAACCCCCCAGGCTATATGGAAACATGCACTTGGAAAAAGTTGATTAATGAGGAAGCTACTCGATCTTGTACTTATTAGGAGTTGTACTACCTAAGGGTGAAACTGTTGCTTAATTTTAATATCTGTCCTTGGGTAAAGAGAATTTTATTTCAAACTAGTTTTAAAGTGCTAAAAATAAAAGAAAATATCTACCAATAAAGTGATTTTGTTCATTAAATCTCCCAAACATTCTTTAAACAACAAATTCATTATAAAATCATATTTTTCTTGATCTATGATAAATTTCAAATTTTTCCGAAGTGTACTTGTGCATTTAGAGATGTAATTTTTCGAGCTTATCGTTGCCTCTGAGCGAAATAACCGCAAAAGCCAATTAAACTCAAATTTCCTTCTGACGGAAATGGAGTCGCGATACAAACAGACGGACCATGTCCGGTGCAGACAGGTAATCATGGCCAAATAAGCTATGCTGTAACACGATGCACCTCTCAAATGCCACCCAAAATACGGTCAGCTCCAATGACAACTATAAAATATAAAAGGCAGAGCCACAGTCAAGCTCAAGAGTACAAGGTGTATGTATTTCTGTACAGGTAAACACCAACACGCCCTTGCCAGAGTTCAATGTTTGCACTTTTCGCCTCCACAACGGGTCTTCTGCTGCTACTGACTTGGCAGCAAAGCTTGTAGCTTGTAATTGTAGTTATGACCTCACAACTATAGGTATTTTTAAACTATGACCGGATTTGACAGTGCAATAAGGAAATGTAATACAATTTGTGATAGAAGTAAAATCTTAAATCTGATTTAAAATTTGCCAGGGAATAATAACTAAAGATAGATACACATTTTTCTCTTGAAATCCCCTAAACTTGTACTTACTCGAAATAAAACATAAACGTTCTTGATATGTGGGCTCATGCAAAGGTTTCCCTAATCAGATAACAAAGTAACTGAAAATGACACTTTGTGGAAGGGCATGGAAACTTTAGTAATTTCCGTTTTCCCTCTGTGATTCGCTTTGTGTTTGGTAGCTCCCCTCTTATGCATGATATTGACATAGTGGCACCCAAAGTTCATCTCTGGCGGCGTTCTGCCTGCCCAAGTTCATTCACATTTCGACGCGCTTGAGCAATAATTAAGAGGGAATCACTGAGCTGTTGTAGATTATGCTCACTTGATTTTTATCGCATAGCCACTGCGGGTGCGTGTGTAGAGTGTGTATACTGTAGTGTGTAGTGTGTAGCGTGCGTGCCGAAACGTCTTAACGATCTATTTTGGCCATAACGCGCAATTGGCACTCATTATCATAGTCACCCACTCCCCAAGCTGGCTATAAAGACAAACTGTCTCTTTATTTATTGTGGCCTCACTTTGGGCTTTCGCCGCGTGAGTGTGGTCAGGATCCCAAAAACATATATTGCCCCGCGGCGTAGCTCTGTTTATGGCCCACTTCATGCAAATCCATTGTGGAGCTAATGGACGTATTTCCCCGTCTAGCTTTTCACTTTCAGAGTATTTCGGTAATTGCTTGTGAACGGCTTGTGTTCTGATTCATCGGTTATTTTACTTATTCAATTATGAAGGCCAAACCTTGATACTCATTGTTTTTTATACAGAAATACTATAGTACCATATATGGTAGTGTTTCAATTAGGTTCGTTTATGAAAGGGCTTTGTTTCATTATTTATTTACCGTTAGTAGTATACCCTCTTCCAGGGTATTATCATATTCACATGTTCAACATTTCATGTGTAGGCAGTAGATTTTGGCATGTATGCATGCCGGCTAACCTTGCTGGCAGTCAGAATTTTCGACATTTCAATTCCGTTTTTCCCTTTGGCACTTGTCCTTTGCTCCTCTTTCATTCCTTTATGCTCTCTGGCATGCCCAGACGGGGAGTCATAACTCTCGGCTTTATGTTGGAGGTGCTTGGGAATCCGACATGCCTGTAGCATGACATAATAATGTCACCCCCAAGGAGCCTTCTCGGCTCGCTTCCCCCTGAACGAAATGATATCTCACTCTAAATAATTCGTCATCGCTGGCACGAGTGTTGGTTGTGTGTTGCGAGTAGAATCGGGGGTGTCGTGTGCTGGAGTATATGCTAAGTAGCTGTCGGTGTAGAGGAAGGGATTTGTGGTGGCACGGGGGTGCCATCGACTGAATATTGTCTCCTCTACGTGGCTCGTTTGAATATGTTTGAATCAAATCGTTTCACTGGCGGGCAATGATATAATACTCGAATTTTGCATGCACAACAAAGCCCAAAGTGGGTATATAATGTCATATATATGTATGCATATTTTATAAAATGTTTGCAGTTGTGCACAGGAAAGATATCGACGATATTCGTCAACAATTCGTTGTACGAGTTTTAATGTATTTTAATGAACTCGGAGGCTAAAATAACTGCTTTTATGTTTTATCAATTAATACAAATATATAAACATGAACTTCTTGAGCTTTTTTTATGTATTTGCAACTGTGTTTATATTTTGTATTGTTATCGTAAAACGCCATTTTCGAGAGACGACTTGTAACGACCTCGGATGTGACTCATTCAATGATTTAAAAATTTCTATGCAAGCGATGTACGCTAAGTCAGAGATGCTCATTAGAAAAGCGAAACTTTGAACTACATTTTCCCGTACTATAATCTATTTTGCATAATTTCTTAAAGACCCTATACATATTATATAGTTAAAGCCTTGTACTAACATAATAAAACAATTTTGTTAGCGGAAAAACTTCATATAAAAGAAGAACCAGTAGTTCAAGGACTATTCTGTTTGGGCACCAGTGTGACCAAAGAAATTCAGGAAACGTTAGGAAATGGGTCACACTCATATTTCCAGCTGTTTTTTCTAAACTAAATTTATAAACTGCAATTAAAATGTATTCGAATGGTATTGAATGATGGATGTTGAAGGCACCAAAACCGACTGTGCCTAATAACAGATTATTGCCGTACCAGAAATGCCTTTTTTTTAAACTAAATATAATAGAATTGACCTTATCATTACGATATGTATTATATATTGTATTATATTAATATAATAATCGATCCATGCGAGCAATGTCTTTATTTTGGGAATTACATTAGGTTTATCTTTTTCAGGATTATTTTTAATCGGTGTGACCGTTTTTTCCTGTTTCTTTGGTCACACTGGAACACGAACGTAATATACATATGTACATACATATGTACATATATCAAACATTGTGTAAGCGATTATAAAGGATACATCTAAAGATCAACCTTCAGTATATTTTTAAAAAATTATCAATACCTGTCACAATTAGCTGTCACAAATAGATGTCACAATTAACTGTCACAATTAGCTATCATCATCACCTGAATCACGATTACTTGTTACAAAATCAGTCATGACTACTCTCAGAACCAACTCGCTGAAATCGCAGATCCTGGATATGACCTGCGAGCATGTAAAACAGCTGCATGGGCTGTGGGTGCAAATGTTTCCACCCGAGACCTGCGAGGCCCACCTGCAAAGGCTCAAGGAGCACGTCAACGATTTTTATGTCGATTTGCTAAGCGAGTCGTGTGAGAAGCAGCAGACCATCCAGAACGATATTGCCAGTCTTCGGGAACAGGCCAGCGACCTTAGGAGTATACTCCACGAGGCATTGGAACAAGACGATTGGCCGGGTGACGTACCTCTGGTCATCTTTCAGCTGAAACTGGAAAAGAGCATAGAGCAACTGCGTAAAAAGCTTAGCAGGCGTCGGGCGGATATCTGTGAGCTGCTCCTTCAGCAGGAACAGCTCTGTCAGGAGCTGGGTGAGCTGCCACTTCCACTCCCAGATGATCCACTGCCCCTACCGAAGGAAATAGAAGCCTTTCGGGACCACCTCGAGCAGCTGCGTGACCTGCGAGAGCAACGCATACAACAGGTAGACCAGCTGCGCCTGAGTATTATGGAAGATATGAAGCTACTGGAGTGCTTACCGTTGACAGACTCTGAGCAACGACTGCTGAACCAGGTCAATCTTTGCCTTCTACCCGATGACTTAGAGCAGCTGCGACAAATGCAGAAGGACTTTGCCGACCAGATGCAGGAGCTGCGCGAGCGCATCGATGACATGCGCGAAAAGATTTACATTTTATGGGATCAAATTCAGGACACCGATGAAAAGGCCATGAAGCGGGTACGAGAATCGACGGGCTATACACAGTACACCCACGATGTTCTCCAGGAGGAGCTGCAGCGCTGCCAGGGTATCCGAAGGCAGAAGATGAAGACATTTATCGAACAGCTGCGCCAGGAGATAAAGGAGTTGTGGGATCTCACCCTGAAAAGCTCTCAGGAGCGCAAACGATTCTACCACAACGACTGGTACCCGGACCTGCTGGAGCTACATGAGTTGGAGCTCGACGATCTCCAGACCTTCTACAACAAGAACAAAGAGATCTTCAAGCTGTATAAATCCCGGACAGCGCTTTGGGAGCGCATGCTGGCACTTGACGCCAAAGCCAACGCCCCCAATCGCTTCAACAATCGCGGCGCCCAACTGCTAAAAGAGGAAAAGGAGCGCAGGGCCATTACATCCAAGCTATCGCAGATCGAGCAGCAAATCACAGCTCTGGTGCTGGCTTACGAGACCCGTGAGAACACTCCGTTCCTAGTGCACGGCGAAAACATTTTAAAGCGCATGGCCGACGACTGGGAGCAGCATCGCCAGACTAAGCAGAACAGCTTCCGCAAGAAGGCACCAATCTTGGACGACAAGAGTGCTTCGGGCACACTTCGCAATATGTCTGCCTTGTCAAGCTCCACAAGGTCGTTGCACAAGTCATCCTCGCAACAGCCTTCGAACAAGCTCCCAAATCCATCGGACAAAAAGACGCTTACAAAGACGCCGAGCTGCCTGAAGTCTCTGAAACCATATCCAGCTATTCGCAGCACCAGCCAACGCCTGCTGATGCCTAGTCAGAAACCGAACCAGTTAAGAGCCTTAAAGTCTCCTCTGAAAAGAGTCCTAGTCAATGCTTTGCCAAACACCAAAAAGCTGAATACAAAATCCGCAATCGCCACTCCCCACCAAAACGAGAACTTAGAGCCCGAGGTGAACTACAAGGAATTCCAAGCAGCCATTCGAAGATGAACCATTCCTGGGATCAAGTGCCACTGCTGAGACATTATTTGTATTTTTGCTGACAAAAACTCACTACTGTGTTACTTACTTTTTCATTTTAAGTTACTACGTTTTACGTTAATAAAATCGAATTGTGTTTTTAGTTTGCCAACCAAATTTTGTATTGATCTTTATTTACCATGGAATTCCACTGGGGATTTTAATTGCATTTCCGTTCTGCCTGCGGGCGATCTTCGTTCCACTTCTCGCTCCAATTCCGATTTCGATTCCAAGTCTGATTCACAATCTTAATCGCATTCTCTCGGTTCTCTCTTTGCAGAAAGCGTCAAATCCATACTGGGTCGCCACACAAAGATACTGGTCAAGTATATGGTCAAATTGGAGACGAAAGGCGATAAGACGGAGAATCGTGTTTTGGTAAGTGGATCCCCGGCGGTGTCTCTCTCTCTCTCTTTCCGATTGGCCTGGCTTTACGTTACTTGAATGTTTTCTCTGGCAGTGCCGACGGGCAGCAGACGCCGCCTGTCAGCGGCACAGATTCAAATTGCTCCATCTGGGGGCAGTCAGCGTCCAATTTGTGCATGGAAATTGCATGCTCCTCTAGCCTAATTGACACAAACTCACAGGAGGCTGCCGTTTCGCCTCAAGTGCCATTAAAGTAATGAATATCTGGCTGCCAGAGCCGAGACGTCTGATTTAAGAATGACTTTACCTTTAAATTCAAACTCCTAAATAAATAAAAAGCTGAGTAAAGAGCTTGAAATGTACACAAAGGTGCATCTTCCACCCCTGGAACATAATAGAACGCGGTCTAATATATCTATTAAGCTGCCAACTTAGCTAAGCCCCCAAGCCTTGCACATTCTGATGGGGGGCAACCGATTTGCAGTTGCCCGGAGGTCTGCAACTGGCCCAGAACCGTAATTGATATTTTATGGCATACTTAGCGGCGGCGGGCACGACTTCCATTCTAACCCACCTGGGCCACGGGGACTACAGCTATGCTAATTCCATGACTGGCCACTTGTACGGCCGCTTGGAGAGCGCACACAGCTGGAAAATTGATTTGTGCAAGCGGCTTACAAGGTGGCAGAGACAAAGTGTCCAATTACTAAAGTCAATGGGGCCAACTCCTCCATGGATACCCCACCTCCACAAGCAGCCGGTTGGTCCCTGCATTTGAGCAGCTAAACGAATTACTTGACGCACTTTGATTTGCCATTAAAAGCTGCGAACTTTCCTGGCAAGACAAAGGCTGGCCAAATTGAGTTTCAGTCCCCTGATAATGGAGTTATACTCCACTGACTGTCTGAGAAATGGCCTCCATCAGCCCGCCCCCATCTCCTTGAGGTCTTAGCCATGCATGTTGGCACGCATGTCTGGCTTGTGTTTTTCATGTTTGCCAATTACAACACTTTTCACTCACGTGCTGCACCTCGCATCGCTGTCTTTACTTTTCCCCGCAGGTCTTTACCCCCGTGAGGGTCTATTTGCTCAGTGCCAAAGTGCCCACCAAGGTGAGTTGATGATCCATATATTATACCTACAAACTATGAATGAATATATACTCTTTGCAGATCGAATGCCATTTCCACTACCTGGACATTGTGGGAGTCGAGAGCAAGAGGTCCACCCATTTCTCCATCGTGACCAACGATCGGCCATACTCGTTCGCCACCACCGGCGATGCGGGCAATTTCAGCTCGGTAAAAGCACCGCTCGCTGTAATCATTTGTACCATATGTAATTTGTGTTCATTCTGCAGAACGCTGATGTCATCCTGACCGATCTGGCCTCGGCCATCAAGCAGATATTCCCAACAGTTCCTCTGAAATACATCATCCGCAAGGCAAGTGTACAGACAATAATGATAAGGGGATAGAATTATAGAATTGAGATGGGTTTTCTATACTCAAAAATTCACTCAAGAAAGTATATAGCTATAGATATAATATATATAATGGTGACCCATCGCTTTAACCTACAAAACATCGTTGAGTGCTGCTGCTTCAACCGCCTCTGACTCACGTTGGTCTTTAATTAATGTTTAATTAAATATTTAGTGAACAATTGCGGGTATCTGCTGTCCATGTGGGACATGTACGGACATATGTATGCATGGATGTGGCTTCTCACCCACTGTGTCATCCCCGCCCCAGTCCAATTAGGCTGTAAGTGCATAAACGACAACATCTGCAGCAGTTGGGCTGGGGGGTTAATAATTCAATGCATTTGTAATGCTCCTGGCCCCAGCACGATGTAAATTATGCCGACTACGTTTATGCTAATCGACTGGGGAGTTGGAGAGCCAACAATACACCCACGACTGAATATAGTTTATAGTTCCCTCCGCCATTTGTTGTGCGACTTTTATCTGGCAATTCCACTTGGAAGTGGCAGCAACAACAATTGAGGCTTTGATAATTGCCGGTGGGCACGCGACCTGGGCGTCATCAGGTTGACGCCTTAAAATGTAGCCATCAAGACTCACATTTACCAGGAGTGTTAAGTGCAAGATTAAGTTTAGTTTTAAGCGGGCAGACACCGAAGGGGCTGTGCTGCTGAAGGAGGTTAGCAGGCAGTCCGTAAACTTTGCATTTGCATTGTTCTTGCTCAAGTTGGTCAACTTGAGTTTCTGCTGCTGAACAACAAAGACGGACACTTGAGACCTAAAAACTTTTGAAATGAATTTTAGCATCAGGTCAGTGAACTATTTCCCTGCTCTCCCCTCTTTTAGATCGATATACAGCCGCCGGAGCGAGAGACCATATTCTCTGAGGAATTTCGACCCTCCGATCCGCGCAATGTGGGCCCCTGCGGGGGATTCAGTGCCCAGTACGCCTGCATGTGCGACTTCCATGGCGTCCCGTATCGCGAGGAGGTGGCTTGGGATGTGGACACCATTTACCTGTCGCACGATACGCGAGTCCTCAACCTGCGCGATTTTGATCACCTGGAACCAAAGTATTATTTACCTGAAATATTATTCTTGTGTCCTTATTAATATATATTTTTTTGTACAGAGACTTGATGGCCATCGTTTCGGCGCTGGAGTACAACACGTTTTTTCGCGGCCTAAAGGCTGCCCATATGCGATTGTCCCACGAGACCCTGGAACGCATCCTGCACGTGCTCAAGCGATCCATGTGGCTGGAGGAGCTGCATCTTGAGGCACTGGGCCTCAGGTGGGTTGTTGTGCAACAAATAGAAACTGGAAAATATTATATATTATTGAATCCCTTTTCTGCAGATGGGATTTCCTGAACAAGTTATCGATATCTGTGATAACGAATAGCAATCCCGCCATTCGCACCATCGATCTGAGCCACAATATAATTGAGGATAAAGGTGCGTACTCTAAAATCCCTGAAGACCCGTGAACTGTCTTGAACCTATGTATCTGCCCCCGGCCCACCCTGTGCTGCCTACCATCGAGTTGTAATCGAGACCCGACGCCTCGTGTAAACCAATTAATCCAATATTTTGTCTACCTCTCTGCTATCGTTTCTCTTCTCCCGTTTGTCATTTGTCGTTTTGCCATTTTGATTTGTGGCTTGTGTAGGAGCCAGTTCGTTGTGCGCCCTACTTGGAAAGATTGTACAAGGTTTGCAGCCACAAAAATAGACACCATAGCACCACAGCCACTTACTCTAAGCCCAAAGATATTCTTGCATTGTTATCGTTGTTGTTGACATCATTGTTTTCTCAATTTCTCAATAAGCTTGCTTCTTCTATTAGTTTGCCCTTTGTGTGGCCATTGTTGAGCCCATCCAGTATCCTTAAGTCCTGCTTTTCCATCCTTAAGGAGGGATATACATGTACAAATTATTTTTTTAAATAGCTTATTATTAATAGAAAGTTTTATTATTGAATTTCAACTCCAAGTGCCTCAAATCGGAGTGAATTGGCCCTATATTATCTTCTATTTTAACCAAGATATGGGTAATAAAAATTAATTTTATTATTTTTTAAGGGAGTGGGATGTGAAAATCAATTTTCTGAAATTTTTAAATTTTTAAAATTTAAAAAAAAAATTTTTTAATATTTTTTGTCGTAATTTCTTTTAGGTTTTTTAGTTTTAAACAGAAAATAAAAGTATAATAATACAAACATGTTTTGTTTTTCGGATTTCCGACACGAATTACAAGCTCTATCGTGTCCATATGTTCCATAGGTCCGCCATTTTGTAAACTTATGTTTATAGAATATTCCGATTATACTTTCAAGTTAAAAGTTTTAATTATCTAGCGAAAAATAGCCAAATTTTGACCGTTTACATGTAAATCCTCCCATAAGCAACAACCCCCGACAATTGCCACACAGGATTAAACTCCTTCTATAAGGTTTTTTCATATACTCTTACGCCTTTAATACATTCTCTAAATTATATCATTCGACCCGAAAATAAACTTATCACACTCGAATTGGTTACCAAAATTTATTCATTCCTCATCTCACTGTCTCTGTGAATAAAATTTCTGAGGGTTGAGATTAAACAATATTTTGCCTCTTCTCCGTCTTAGGTGCCATCCACCTGGCAGGGCCCATAGCAAAGGTGTCCAAGGGCCTGTGCAAGCTGGCCCTGGCCCACTGCGGACTTACATCCAAGGGAGTAAACCAGATGTCGCACTCGCTGACGCTCAATCAAAGTATTTCCAACTCGCTCACGTATTTAGACCTTAGTGGTAATAGTCTCAAAGATGATATAACCGTAAGTACAAACTGGTGAAACTAGGGTTTATGGTATTTCTAAATGATATATTATATATTACTGCAGAATCTGCACAATTTTCTGGCTCAACCCAATGTGCTGGAGCACTTGGACCTCGCCTCGACTGACATCACGCTGGAGAATGTATGTTTCTTACCTTTATTATAATTTAAACTATAACACAGGTCAACAGATTTTTGGAAAAAGAACCGAAATATAGCGCTTAACTCAAATCTGGCCTCAGTTCCTACATTTCATATCTGTATATTTATTTTAATACTAAATTAACTTACCTTTCACTAAAAAAAATAAGTGAAGATCTCGTATAGAACATTTTCCGAGGCATCATATAGGTTAAGCCGATTGAAAACCTTCGGAAAAGTATATTCCCGTTCTTGGTTCTGCGTTTTTTTTTTATTTTGTAAACCAATAATATATTAATCTCTTAATTTTAGTTATTTGGCGCTCTGCTGCGCGGCTGTGCCACGCATTTGGCCCACCTGAACGTCTCGCACAACTCGTTCAGCACCAAGAAGGGCAAGGAAATCCCGCCGTCGTTCAAACAGTTCTTCACCAGCACCCTGAGCCTGAAGCACCTCAACATAGGCGGCTGCAAACTGCCCATGGAGGCCCTGAAGAACCTCCTGCTTGGCCTGGCCTGCAACGAGTCCACGGCTGGCCTCTATCTGGATCTCAGCAGCAATACGCTGGGCGCCCAAGGTGCCCACGTCCTCGAGTCCTGCATCCATGGAGTGCGAGTGCTGCAAAGCCTGGACATCAGCGACAACAGTGAGTGCAGCACAAATCGAATATCAACAGTAAGCTCATTCCTTATGTATCCCCTAGATTTGGACGCGGAGCTGGCGCCTGTGCTGACGGCCATTTCGAAGAACCCCTCGATCCGGACGCTCCACCTCACCCGCAGCCTCACGGGCATGAAGCCCAAGCACATTCCACCCGTGATGGACGCCCTGGTGAACCTCATCCAGAAGGACGACTTCCCGCTGGCCGAGCTGGTGCTGTCGGAGAATAAGCTAAAGCACGACCTGCACGACTTCATCAATGCCCTGGGCAGCAACCAAAGCCTCCAGAAGCTGGATATCAGCGGCAATTACATGGGCGATGTGGGCGCTCGACTCCTGGCGAAAGCTCTGCAGATCAACAACAGACTGCGGACCATTTACATGGACAAGAACGGGGTGACGCTGCAGGGATATGCGGACATCGTTTACGCCCTGGAGCACAATCACAGCATGCGCACCATACCCTTCCCCGTCTTCGACATTGCCCCGCACCTGAAGAGCCATCCGGACAAGACGGATGCGGTGATGCGGAAGATGCAGGAGCTGCTGCAGCGAAACTGCAACGGCTTGAAGCGGGCCACGGGCCAGGGATTCCGTCTGCAGCACGGCTTCATGCTTTCCTCCACCCACCAGCTGGTGGACAAGCTAGTGGCCGAGACCCAGGACACCATCTCGCTGGCCAAGGGCGGCAGTGACTCTGCCTCGGCGGTGCAGCGCCTGATCACAGACGCCGAGAACTGCAAGCAACTGATGCCCAAACTGCAGGAAGCCGTTCGCAACGACTCCCATCCCATCGAAATGAAGCTGACCCGCGTGGCCAGCGAGCTGGGCTACACGATCAGGAGCTATCTGGAGGAGACGCTGGAGACGATGATGCGCACGGGCATCGAGCAGTGTCCCAAGACCCTGGGTAACCAGATTGTGGTGCAGGACCTGCGCAAGGGTCTCGCCGAGCGTCTGATTATCCCCGAGGAATTTCTGCAGGCCTGCCTTCTCAACAACGCCGGCAGCGAGATCATGAACAAAGTTGGGTGAGTTCCAAGCCAGTAACTACAAGATACTATAGATGACAAAAAAAGAAGAGCAGGGGAATTGGTAAGGAAAAAAGTAAAAGGTCTTATTTAAATGAGCTCTAGCCACAAAAGACACACCAAAAGCTAGAGGTTTGATGAGACATAGAAAAAACGCAGTGAGGTAGAAAGGAGGAGAAAGTGAGTAATTTAAATAAACAAGCTACTTTAATACATTATTCATGATAAGAACAACGTAAAGCTTAAAGTTTTAGTGGAATTACTAGATTCTACAAAACCAAGAAATTATAAAATGTTTATTTTCAAAGAGAGAAGGAAAAATCAGGTGTAAACACACTTGGAATTACCAGTAAAACTCATAGAAATTATCACATTTCGATGATGTTCGCCGCAATTCGCAATATTGTACACATTTCGCACATCGCCAAGAAGACAAGAAATGAGAGCCGAAAACAAACATTTGCCTTCCGTTTCTGTATTGCATACTCAAATTCCAAAAACAAGCTTCGAAGCGAGCACTCTCGGCTCTCTTTTTACTCCAACGAGCACTAAAAAATGTATTTACTTCCGTGTGTGTGTGCTGGTGTATCTGCGAGCGAGGGAGAGCGCAAGCTAACGCTTAGATAAGATTAAAAACAACACACCGAATAAATCGAAAAACAGCTGAATGCACCTCCCACTGTCGCCGGGATTTCGGAGCCAATCACTTCTGTTTACGGGTACGCCAAATCGTGCTTCTATCTGTGCCCAGCGCTCACAGACAGCCCTTTCAGTTAGCTTCCAGCTGCCAGGAAAAATGGGTCTGATGCGCGCTTTGTGCTGCTGCTTCGGTGGCCAGACCACCAAGGTTTCGGGCAGCAGTCCCGCCTACAGAGAGTGCCCCGATGAGGAGCCAGTGGAGGAGCTGCAGGAGGAGCTCCAAACAGAGGATCCTTCTAACAGAAAGTAGTGTTTCCCAGAGAAACCTATAAATATTTCCCAAATGTAATTTCTAACTTGAAATGTATTTTCTTCCCATTTTCCTTTCAGTGAGATTGAACAATCCCTGGCGGCCGCCATCTCGGACCGGGCCACGGATGAGGTGCTGGAGGCTTTGACCCGCTATCGCCGTGGCATGGGCATCGCCGAGTCGCCATCGGTGCTGCTGGACGAGCCGCAGACGCCAGATATTGTGCGCAGTCGCTCCAGTCATGTAAGTTTATTATTCGTTTTGGGGGTATCGATCGGGCCTATCGAGTGGGTGGCTCTTATCAGCCATGGAAATTGTGTGTGGGGGAAAGCGCTGACCGTCTGGGTTATTTTTTGGCTATTTTTCCATTCGTTTTAAAGGGGGAAAATGCATAATAACCGATTTTATACCAGGGACCGTAATCATTATATTATATTTACGGTCTCTGCTTTATACAAAAGAGTTGTCAATTTTTTTGTTACGATCTTTTGTTGAAATCTTTTTAAAAGCATTTCAAGCTGTAAGTAATTTAACTATAAATTTTCCTATATAAATAAACAAACGGTCAGCACTGCTAACGGGGCAGGGTGATGACAAATGTGATGTCATGGCCCTAAGCCCCTCGGGCGGGTTCACTTTCGCTCTCGAACCACGAAATTGAGGCAGTTGTTTGGGTGATCGTTGGTGCTTCTGTGCCTTAGCTCCGCTTATCAGCTGCAGCTCACCGCATTCGATTACAAAAATATTTCTTTCACCCACTTTGGGGAGTTGCCGAATCGAAGAACTATTTAGAGTGGACCTAGACTCAAGTATATATGTACATTATCTTTCCTCCCTGCAGGATGCGGATGGATTGATCATACGGCCGGGGGGACGAGGCTCGATATTGCCCAAACTGGGCCTGGAATCGCCCACTGTAAGTGTTGAAAATCTGTCGCTACCCAAGTGGATGCAATAGAGTCCGCCGAAACAGAATTAGATCGTAACAAACATCATATATTAAAGAGTATATGCGAGCAGTAGAGAGTGTCAAGTGTCGAGAAGATTATCACCCACACTCATCCCACACAGTCACCGAAAACACACGCAGTGATCCCACAAATGCTTAGTACATTCATGTGTAAAATGAACTCATACTCCACACTCCCAGCCCAACTAGCTGAACGTAGTCGACACACATGCATCACATTATACATCGAATCTCATTAATAAATTACTTAAATGTGTACACCAAATGCTCATGCCCATTATTTTTCTCGTGTCTTCCCGCCCGATCCGATCATCATCACCATCTCACCATCAACCGAAATCCAAAACCGAATCTGAATCCGAATCTGTACCATATCGCAAATACTCGTTCTTGTTCTTGAAAACATACTATAACTAAACCTTGTCTCCAACTCATTTACATAATTTGCATTTCAAAATCCAAACAAACAAACACAAAAAAGAAATTGGAATATCTGAACCTTGTAAGTAGTTTTTGTCTTGAACTTACGTCTAACTATCAATATCTTATCTGGGACACGGGCTCTTGGACTTGCGGGGAACTCGGGACTGCTCCTGGAGTTCCCCTTGGGTCGGGCCCTAATCTTAATCGTGTCCTTATAGTTATCCCTCTGTAGCCTGTAGACCTTCTGTAGACTGTCTCTATCTATGTGACCATTATGATTTGTAGCTGTTGTAGAACCCCCTTAAAAAAAAGTAAAACAAAACCAAAAACAATCTTCATTATTTCACACACAATGAATCATGAAACATACAACATTATGGCGAAATGAATTCTGCTCATCCTCCCTTCAATCCCACCCAATAGGCCACGCCACATCTTCCCACCAAACGGCGCAGCCTTGCTAAGAAGGTTCGTCCCCAGTCCGTCGTGGAGAATCTCAGTTTGGGCCACTTCCCCGACCTCCTGGAGTCGCCCTCTTCGCACCGCTCCACCTCCCAATTGTCCACCCGCGGGGCTGCTGGAGCCGCTGCTGTGGCCGCGGCCTCCAACATGACCGACAGCCTGGCTGTAATGGATGATGGCGGCGTTGACGAGTGCTGCGACTCCATAACCGAGCTGCCCAGCGCCTCTTTTCAGCTGCAGCATTTGGTCAAGGGTCGACCGAAGCGGGCCAAGACGCGGGCACCCACACGACCGCTGGTCAGTGCCGAGTGCAGTGCCGGAGGCAGCCGCGAGATCGGCGAGGGGCTAGAGCACTTCTTTCGGCCAGGCTCGGTGACACCCACCACGCTCACCCCGCTCGTTTCGCCCACGTCGGAGGAGTGCAGCTCGCTGTCCTTTGTCGACAGTCCCACGATGAGCCGCGATGGCAACGGTCACATGACCTCCGAGGAGACGACGCCCATTCTGGAGGAGCGCCGACCAATTAAATTGGAGCGCCAGTCGCCACTGCTCAAAAGTAAGTAAAGAACATAACTAGCTTTAAAAAACAGACCTATAAAGAGGTTTTTTTTTGTATGGCTTAGGTGCCTCCTGGGCTACTCGCTCCCGGTCCACAGACAACCTGGAAAAGTATTCGCCTTTAGTGGGTCGCAAGTCACCATTGGTAAAGATGCGCACTGAGGGCGGGGCTGGTTCGGGAGCAGCAGCTGGAACCGGAGCAGAGGAGGCAGCCAACAGCAATCTCCTGAGGGCGACTGGTCGCGAGGATAAAATGCGCTCTCCCAGCAGCGACTCGATCAAGAGCCATGCCACCGGCGAGGGCAGCGTGATTGTGAAGACCGGAAACGGTATCCTGCGAACGCCGATTGTGCTGCAGAAACCCCGACCGTGGTCAGTGGTGGGCAGCGAGCCGAAGAGCGGGGAACTGATCACGGGCAACAGCAATGGCAACGGCAACGCGGACTCCACCAAGACAACGCCTGACAAACTGGAAGAAGGTGGGTAGAGAGCAGAGTTTAGTGTTACAGATCAGTAATTCAGCGAATTCCTTTGCTCCGCTTAGATGACGTTGAGATCGTGACCTTTGGAACTAGCAGCGGTGGCTCGATCGTGGGCATTACGCCGGGTATTGCTATAGGCGGTGGCGGAGGCGGTGGCAGCATTGTGGGCATTACACCTGGTGAGTGAGACCTCTCGAACTGCTCCGCAACTTGGTGACTTATTTAAACCCCTTAGGAGCTGCCCTGGAAAAGAAGTCCGTGCGAGAGCTGGCAGCGGGACTCAACAGATTGGGTAAGTGTAGAATCCTCCGCACTTGCACGCGTAGTTGTTGTGGAAGATGCCTGCCTGATCCGTCACTTGAAACCCTTTTTAGCAGTAGTTTTGATCTATTTTGTTTTGTATCTTATTTATTTTCATATTTTGATTGATTTGTTGTACTCCTCGTTACTTGTAAAGAACTCCCCCTCAAACCGCCCGTTATGCCCAGAACCCTTCTGAACGCAGCAAATGCGCGCACGAGCACCACCTCCACGGGCTCCTCCCACGGGGGGCCAGTCACTGCATCCACGACAACCAGCACATCATCCACCACAGTATTAAACCAGAGCCAGACGCGCTCGAGGATGGTGAGCGAGACCGTCACGGAGCAGAGCAGCAGCAGTAGCAGCTCCTCCAGCAGCCACGAGCAGCGGCATGCCATGGCCTGTGCGAGTCTGATCAGCAACGAGATCCTGAGCATGCGCAACGGCCAGTTGGGCACCAAGTCTGGCAGCTGCGCGGAGAGCGGCGGCGTCAAGCGGATCGCCGGCAAGGAGATATCCACACTATTCGAGGTTTGAACTTCTCCGTGGCTGGAGCTGAGCTGCATTCTACAGCTTGCCGTGTTGTTCATCGCTCGAAATTTGGTGGCAACGTTGCTTCGTTGATTTTGGTGCTCATCCTGTGCGTTTAACATCCACATTTGTTGCTTAGTGTGTGTGTAGTTGATAAGTTGTGTCCGCTAGCCAGTAAGCAGCATGTTGCCTGTGTTTCATCTAGTATCCGTATCTGCCTGTTGAACACGCCTAATAATGTGGAATCACTTTCCCGCTTCCCCACAGGAGACATTAGTTGAAGAACTGCAGCAGAGCATGGCGACCAGACGCATATTTAGAGACTCGGCCTACACCAAGGAGGATGTCGTTGATTTATAAGTGTTTCTATTGTTAAATGCTCAACATTCCCCCACATCCCACTTGCCGCAGTGCCCGCCTGTGGCGGAGGGATGATAAGGTGATAGAGACGACGGAGACGGATAGACGGAAAACTAGGTTGCAACTTATTCGTACTGAAACATTAATTTATGTGCAATGGCGCGCGTGTGTATTGTTTTCATTTGGCAATTTAGAATGAACGTGATTATTTATTGATAATTTTATCCAAATTAACCTTTGCATATTTATAAAGATGTTTTGTGTGTACTATATTTTATATTTTTATGTATTTTAAATGAGTTAAGTGCCAATTATATACATACATACAACCAGAAATCTATTTTTAGCGCATGCTAAACAACAATTTCAATGGAAACTAACGAAGATAACGCAATGAAATGATACTATCTATATATACATATTATGTAAATCGATTGCGTAACTAAGAACTATTTTAAAGGGCCAAAGCCTAAAGAAATCTTTAAACAAGTCTAAGTGAAAAACAATATTTTTTATAACTGCTTCCAAATACAAACACTTTATCATTTCCCATTTCCTGATTTTTATTTACCTTACCTATAAACACTACTTATACTAGTATTCAAGCGACAATCCGTTTTTTCAAATTCTCGAGCGCAATATGCTGCCAGAAACGAATGCATTTATTTAAATCGAAACGGAGAATGGCGATATTATTGATTATTTTCTAAAGAGTTAACAATTTACGCTAAGAACTAGGCCAGACGACGGATGGATACCGATAACAAATTACCGAATGCATTTAACAAAAGGATAAACGGCAGAACACCAATCCCCGTAAACTGATAAGACAAGTAAATAATAACTATAATCTCGAATCGATCGATTTCAATTTTGAAGATCATCAAGTAGTTTGCACCAACGACACAGGAAATTTTACGAGAAGCGTTTAACCCAGTCCACCACCACCGACCACACACACTTCGAGTTTTGAGTGTTGCCCGATTCCCATTCAATTTCAGAAATACGACAAAACTTAACGTGTTCATTAAAGTTAAGCAATTAAAACTTCATTGTAATCTATTGAAATTCAAATTAAAAGGAAAACGATAATGATGTGGTGTGTTTTATTTAAAAGATGACCAATAACTGCTTCCTAAACTTTTATACGAGTCTTGCTGGGTGATTATTTAAGTCTCAATTTTAGAAATTTAGATCGCTAAAGAGACAGAAAAGTAGTAAGTGCAAAAAGGGCTTATTTCCAATTTTTTTTATTAGGTTGATACAAAAATCTACAACAAATCTATACAAAAAGCTAATAACGAATTTGTAATAAATAAAATCGAACAGAGGAAAAATTATACTTGTGAGCTTCAGATCAAATATTTCAAAACAAATATATACCGTAAATTATGAATATTCTTGAAATTTACATGTTACCATTACAATAAAAATTAAATTAGCACACGGTTTTAGACTTTATTTTAGCATCTCGGTAGACCTCTTCTGAAAATGCTCACATATGAAAAGAATCTACTTTTTTTTCAAATTTTTCTAGATTTACCATATTTTTTATATTACTTGACCTATTGTTCGTTTGAAAGCTATATGATATAAGAATATAATATTTAAAATCATTAATATTTAAAATCATTATATTTTAGGGCCACCCTTGTATAATATTTAATAGCATACTTTTAGGGAGTATCCATAATTGATTATTTAGTGTGGCCAGCCACATTTATTGCAAAGGATTTTTTACCGGTCCGGATGCTGTCACATTGTCTTCACTCGCGTCTGTAAATTGTTTCGTTTTTCTGCATTTCAGAAAAACAAGCGAAAAGAGCGAATAAAAAGTCTCTTTCGGCCGCACGCGCGTACCCACACACTGCCACAATGGTTAAGCTAACGCCGGAATTGATCAACCAGTCGATGCAGTACATAAACCCGTGTCGGGAGCGCGAGCTGGATTTGCGCGGCTACAAGATCCCACAGATAGAGAACCTGGGTGCCACACTGGATCAGTTCGACACGATCGATCTGTCTGACAACGATCTCCGCAAGCTGGACAACCTGCCGCATCTGCCGCGCCTCAAGTGCCTGCTGCTGAACAACAACCGCATTCTGCGGATCAGCGAGGGTCTGGAGGAGGTCGTGCCCAACCTGAGCTCCATCATCCTGACGGGCAACAACCTGCAAGAGCTGAGCGACCTGGAGCCGCTGGCGGCGTTCACCAAGCTGGAGACCATATGCCTGCTCATAAATCCGGTGTCCACAAAGCCCAACTACCGCGAGTACATGGCCTACAAGTTCCCACAGTTGCGGCTACTCGACTTCCGGAAGATCAAGCAGAAGGACCGGGCGGCGGCCCAGGAGTTTTTCCGCACCAAGCAGGGCAAGGACATGCTGAAGGAGGTCAGCCGGAAGTCAAAGCTGAGCGCCGCCGCCGCCCTGGCCGCAGAGGCGAGCAACGGCAAGGGCAGAGGGGATGGCGGGCGATTGGCCAATCCGGAAGACATGCAACGCATCCGCGAGGCGATCAAGCGCGCCAGCTCACTGGCAGAGGTCGAGCGGCTGTCGCAGATCCTGCAGAGCGGCCAGCTACCGGAGAAGTTCCAGCACGAGCAGGAGGTGGGGCAGAATGGAGCCGCTCACAACGGCTCCGGACCCGTGGCTGTGGCCATGGAGTACTAGGATACCGACCATCTGTCAGCTACCTTATAACCGTAGACCAATATTTTATAATAAAACGCCGTAACAAGTTTCTTCATCGTATTCTGCATTCTAGACATACGCAAATATAAAGTATCTTTTGTTCTCAACTAGGCCGCTGGCTGGGACCTTTCACGGAAAGGTCTGGCGTTGTCGATGGTACACCTGGCCATCATAGAAATGCATGTACATGATCGTAATTAGCTAAAAGTTTAACAATCTACACCGAGTTTAGAGGGGACAAAACAGGAGGAGCGGCTATCTTATTTGGCTTCGCACTTGAACCTGCGGAAGTGTAGGGATGGGGATCTGGTTCTGGAATCGGTTATTGCTTGGAGGCTGCGGTGGCGGCTTCTGGCGTGAGGGGCGAGTATTATGAGGCCTTCGCCGCCATTATAGTGTCGTAGTGCAGGCCCGTGTAGAAGATGATCCACGTCACCAGGAAGCCGGCGAACGAGGTCATAAAGCCCTCCTTTACCAGCTCCCAAACCCCGCCGTAGGCGTCCTCATCGACATTCTGGAAGTTGATGGCGTACAGATAGACAATACCGCAGCTGATGCCGGCGAAGCTGTGGGGCAGAGCAAATGGACGTTGGAGTGGCGGTGGCTATTTATAGGTTATAGATAGCTACTCACAGTACGAGGCCCAGGAAGCCTTTCAGCGGAACAATGCCCCAGATTACGCCCAGGATAATGCCAAATACCTGGCGGGACCAGTAGATGACGTCCAGAAACTCCTCCTACGGGTTGTGGAAAGGTTAGCATGCTGAGGAGTTCTTCGCGGACCGGACTTTCCGCCGTGTGCGCGGAACTTTGCTCACCTTGTCCTCCCACTCCGATTTTGTGATGGCGCGCGCGCAAATTTCTCGCAGACTGGATGACTTGGCTGCTCCGTTGGCGGTGCGTTCTACCGTGCTCGTCTTGGTGGCCATTATTTGATACAGGTTTTTACGATTCGCTTTAAATTATTTTGTTAATTAATTTTTTCACTATCAGTTGACACAGTGCACCCTCTTAATGAAAATACCAGGGAAAGCGAGAAACATGTGCGAATTAAGCTCTTCCATTAAACGGTCACACTAAAACCAAATCAAAAACAAACTTTAAAAGAAACAACAGTTTTGGTATTTAAGCATTCTTCTATTTATAAGATAACAAATATATTATGGCAGAAGAATGGTGTCCCGGGCTGGCTGGTGCTTCTCCTAGCGCCCCAGAATGTTGCGCGACCACTGCTTGACCATCGGCTTGGCCTTGGTCTGTTCGATGCGTTCCGCCTCCTCCATTTGCTCGGCCAACTTGCGCTGATTCTCCCTGAACTGGCTGATGGGGTCGTCGAATTGGCGATAGTAGTGCAGCACCTCACGCACATCGTCCACGTTGCTCTGGGCAATCAGCTTGAGGAAGGAAATTAGGTCCAGCAGTTGGCCGTCGTCATCGTTGCCGTGCCAGCGGGAAATGCCGAATGTGTTGTCCGGGTGCATTTTGGTGGAATTAGCATCCCAGTCAATGACGATCACCTTGCTCAAGTCCCGGTTCAGGTTGTCCAAGTTCTTAACATGATGGCCGTCCACAAAGTGTGTGGCATCCCTGACCAGGCGGTACATGATGTATCCATTGGGGTCCAAGGCGTCGAGAATGGGGAACACGGTCATGCCCTGCTCGGCGGTGAATACAACGATCTCAAACTCCTTGGCGCACTCTGCCAGGAAGTGATCGACACCGGGTCGCTTCTTGAAGCGCCACCCCGTGTGGTAGGTCCAGTCCGGATGCACCAGAACGTCCTTCATCTCCAGGACAAGCGTGTAGCGCGGCTGAATATATGGGGGCTTGAGCGGATCGGGCAGGAGTTTGTCCCGCGACGGCTCCTGGATCATCTTCTGGTAGTAGTACATGCTCTTCCACATGCGCTGGATATACTGTTGCACCAGTGGTTTCTCCGATAACTCATCCTCGATGGTCTGTCCATTCTCGTCCACCTGGGGCTTGCCGAACTCGTAGACGGCCCATAGACCGGCGGCCAAGCCGCCGCCGCCGAAGATAGCGAAGCCCAACTTCATGCGCTTCCAGGCCCGCTCATTCTCCTTGGCTTCCTCGTCTTCGCGCTTCTTGCGCTCTTCCTCGCCACCGCGGTCCACCTCGGGGGAGGTCTGTGGAAACAGCTTGGCCAGCAGCGGAGCATTGGCATTGGTCACTGTCGGTCCGGGGGATGCCTCCGCTCCTGCTTCGCCGGAAGCGGATTCCTGCTTGCTGCTCGAGCTATAGCTGCGAACTGTGTGGAGCACCGGAGCCAGCGAAAACCGCGGAGAAGGAATTGACGGCGATGTGGATGTTGAACGGCGCTGCAGCTGGTGATGATTACCCAATGCACCGTGGTAATGGATGGTTGTGAGGACTCGCGGCGTGCTCAGGCTGCGCAGCATCTGGATGACTGTGGCCGGAGGCGCCATGCTCAGCTTCGATTTTCTGCCTTCCTTGTGTCAACTTTAGTGTCCTGCCAACTGAGAAGTTAGCTTTTTTCTTAGCAAATCCCCAATAAAAGTTTCAACCTCGCCTGGCACTGCAGTGGGGTTATGTCTGTGGCTGTAACTTTTGGCATTTCGCGACGGGCCCAGCACGGTCATACTGCCGCCGTCAGCTGTTTTTGGTTATGTGAACTACAAATATTCAGAGTTTTAATAAATAATGCTGAAAATAACGAAACTCTGCCTGGCCAGCAGTGCCTCGGCCACAGGTGAGTGCCGCACTTTACCGTAATGGTATCTTAATTCATTAACACCGTTTTTCCTAATCCAGCACAGCGTAATATCGCGATTTCTGCCTCACGCTGCATCGATCAGAAATGGCGTGCGGACAAGGGATTGCCGGAAAACCCGAATGCTTTTGGCCCGCTCACCAACATGCCTGATTACACGTTCCTGGACGGCAGAACCACGCCCCTGGGGGTAAGTGTTCCCCTAAATACTCTATGAGCCCATGCCTAACACACATTGCCTTGTAGTCCAACCAGAAGAGACGCCTGCTGAAGCAGCAAGAGATCGCCTCCAAGATCGTGGAGCTTACTGGGGAGCTGGAGTTCGCCAAGCAGCGGCACGAGCGTCTTAAGGCACAGGCCGCAGCCGAGAAGCAGCGCATAATCCAAAACAAACTGAAGCCCAAGGGTCACCTGCTGCTCAAGCAGAAGTAGAAGCCAACTGCCGGCTGAACCTCCTGCGTAGTTTTACTCGTTGTTGCCTGTGTATAAGTTATCATAAGTCGCTTAGTGAATGGAGACGAAATTATACGATGGGTCTTGTGATGTGGACACATGTTTGCCGAAAACACGTTTCAAAAACGTTCCTCAAACAGCAAGCGTGGCGCAGTCGACGCTTCATTAGACGGTGGGCCGCTAATGATGATTTAATTGCAACTAATAGCGGACACCCCTTGGCGACACATCTGCTGCACGTTAATTGAGTGTTAAAACGCCAGTGACGCACTTGCCGGGGCACCGTGTCCTGGCATTTAGTCGAGATGAAAGCGATGCCCGCTTTTCCGAATACTCAAAATTTAACCCTTGATACCTAGGGTAACCTAGCCCACTCCACCGCATCCCATTTTATGGACTCCTATTCACACATTTGCTGCTAATATGAGGCCTACGCTCGCACATTCGAGTCACTCCTCAAACTATTTTTGTCAACAAGGAAGTCAGTCGGCGCGGCGCTTTAGTTGTTTATTTGTAAGCGCTTGTCGAAGGCCAGTTACAAGCCAGCTAGGTCGGTTCTCCTCTTCCGGCCAGCGCAATGTGGGCCAGCGTGACGAGAGCAATCACTCCAGGGAGGTTAATGGATCGATATCGATCGTGCCAGCGGAGCCAAGCGAGCGTAACAAATATGAGGCCTGCTGGTGTTTGGCATTATCATAAGTAAATATGAACAACCGTTTACCAGCTAAATATTTGCACACCTTGCCCAGTGCTCCCTTGTTTTTCCGAGTGTTTGACTTTTCGGTTAGGAGATCAAGAATTTTGCACGGCACTCAAATGTTTGCCTTCGCCTCGGTCATAAATCCAATAACAGGCGTAATAAAAGCCGCAGAAATGTGCTCCATTTTTGGGCCAGGCTGATTGCTGAACAAATTAATGAACTTTCAATGTTTTAACCCGATGGATTTTGGATGATAAACATATAAATAAAATAAATTCTATTAATGTAATGCAAAAGCTTTGGATCAAGGCTAAGAAACATCCCATTTCAGCAAGCTGGGCTTCGCACTTCCCGGAGAAAAACATCGACATCAACAAGGGAGATCCATTGATCCCTCTAGGTGGCAGACGTAAAAATTTCCATAACGCTTTGTGCTCCGCCAAGTCACACCAGGTCGAAGTGGGTAAAAGTGGCAATTAAATAAACGGATAATGTGCCATGATCAATATTCAAATATTGCTGGGCGCAAATTTAGCTGTTTGCATTCGCACATTGAGCTAACAAAGAAATCAAGTCTGAGGAAATTTTCTAAGCAGATGATAGGTTTGCGATCCGCGATCAAAGAGCGGACGGCCTGCAAGATGTTTGTCGCACTTCTTGCATGAATTAGCCGAGGTATATGAAATTTGGCACTGCCTTTCGAGTTTCGCGGACTCTGCTGAGCGGGGGCTACAGAAAACGTGCCCAAAGGAACGTGCCTCCGCTGGCGAGCTCTCAATCAAAAGTCAGAAGCCGATGCTTCGCTGTACTGCCCCCCGAGCTGCTCCAATGCAGCTGCCAATCGTGCGTATACGTAATGCGATCTGGATTGTTTATGTTTCCTTTATCTTGGGCAAATCTCGCACCTTTCTGTTGTTGTTGACGATGTTTGGGTGTGCAAAAATATTTACCCCCGTTGGGGTGGCATGGAAAAAGGCGGAGTTGTGGAAAACAACTGATCTTATTTTGTTATTGCCCCCCCGCGGCGGTGGCTACTTCGGATTTATATTTATATAATTGTATAAATTCATATCATTAGCGGGTTTATATTTACGCCAGAGACTTTTCGAAACCAAAGCCGCTGATGGGGATAATAAAGTGTGAATTAGGTTTGGGTCCAAGCCCAGGTCTTTTCCTCAATTTCGTCTGATTAACGATTTGTTACACAGTCTAGTGACTAGTGTCTAAGTCCCAAAGCCTGATTCATCTTCGAGTGCAGGCCCCAAAAACTGAAGTCATGCCCCTTTTCGGAGCCTCATTCCAAGTACTGACCGCAGCCTCAGCCGGGTCGAGTGTATTTGTTAATTGTTTTACTGCTCCTGGTGTCGAATCATGTTTTTCTAGAAAATTTCGGTATTTCTCACTTCCTGAGTCAGCCACATTTTCACGGCGAATTGATTAACCATCGCATGAAAGACTGCGGTTGGATATTTATAAAGTCTGCGTTGTATTTTTAGACTCCGGCTTATTTGCGTGTCTATGCTGATTTATGATAACAGCAACGAATTTCGTTACAACGACATTCGAGGTCTGGATTTAGACTTAGCGTGTGACCACACAAAAATTACCACCCGGGGACCACAGCGCCTGGTACAACGCACATTACTCATTCGCCGTGTGCCAAAATTCGATTGCGCCGCAAACCCTTCCACCCGAAAACACACCTAATTACTTTCATCTCTCTGTCATCTTCATCGACGTCAATGTCGTTGTCCAGTCCGCTATGCTATCCACTTGACTGTCGACGTCAGAGCACCTAAAATCCAATAATTAATTAGCCAAATCAAAACAAAATAGTCGCAGACAATGGGAATTTTGGGGGTCCGTGTATCTTTCCGCATTGTAAAAACTTTTCCGAATCAAACTGGCCCCCGGCCACGCTAACAGAAACAGTGCACCAGGCAATTAGAGCCTTTCGTCCCATGGAATCCCATAGAGATAAGACAACAGCCCACCGCAGAGATTTTCGATCCCCGCTCCGATCCAACTTGAAATTAAAGTCACAGCAGCCGCGCATGCGCAAAAACCCAGACGACACATACGACACATTGGATGGCGTCAACGAAAGAGAGTTGGCGGGACGTCGAAAATGTCGCTGCGTTTCCTCCGGACTTGCGTCACAGCCCGGAGCATCCGTCGGCTCGGCCCGAAAGCAAATTTTCACATTTGGGTGCGAATATGGCGACGGGTGCGTATATAAAGGAAGGGTTCTTCGCAACACAGCACACAGAACTCGCCAGACGTTCAAAGCAACCACAGCAAACGGTCAAGCCAACAGCCAAAGGATAATACCTGCACCTTTCCCCTTAACGGATTTTACAAATTATAACCAGTTAAAACCGCAACACAAACACACAATGGATCTGAAGGTAAGCATCGCTTATACAGAGATCTTTGAAGGAATTAAGCTCACTTCCCACTTTCCCCTCAGCAATTGTACTCGTGGGTCTGCCTGCTGGTCAGCATTATTATCTGCAAAGTGTCCCAGACAGCGGCCAAGCCCACCTACTATGACCTGGATAGCTACGAGGCCTACGATACCGATCGCTACGACAGCGGCGGATCGTACGCCTTGACTTACGGGAAACCCCTGACAGAGAACCGCCTGAAGAAGCTGAACCCGGGCTACTACTATGTGGACGATGGTTACATCGCACCCGTCTCAGCCAGCGCCGGAACCAGCACCCGCCGCGAGGATCCCAGCCCACAGAGCGGCGGCGCCCTGCCCTACAACGTCAAGTTCACTCCCATCGTTCGCGTCCGACAGACCAAGACCAAGCGCAAGAAGCTGTTCGTGCCCAACTTCTTTGGCTAGACGGTGCTGGTCCTTCTGCCGGGACTGAGAGTACAGACTGAGGATGATTAGAATAGATCTTAGTTGTAGCATTAGTCGCGTGGCTCGCACACCAAAAAGTACCTTATACTGTTACCTATTTTATACGCTGACCAAATTATATTTATATACCCAAAACCTTCTAAATATACAAACATATAACCAAATTCATGAAATTATTTCTCAACTGAATAATTATTTGAAACTGAATCTGTGACCACACGAGTTGGGATCGTGAAATTTGAATTCAAAGTTATTTTTAGAAAGCAAATGGCGACACACAGCCGACGAGTTTGTATTTTAAAGTTCGACCAATGCCTAAAATATTTAAAAATGGAATCAAGTCTTTGCTCTCCCAGCCAGATTTATTCGGTTATCCACAGTGAAGATGTTTATTGAGTTCAACTTTCAATAAACAAATACTTTACATTTTAGTAACCCTTCGTCAGCCAGCATTTGCTTCTGCTGATCACTCCTACACCTCTAAATGAAATGCGGCATATGGAATTCGATTATAAATAAAGTGTCTACCTTATTTGGCAATTCGGTGCTAATTGACCACTTAGGCGATTTATTAAAAAGAAAATATTAGTTATTCTTGGGCTTCTTTCAAAACGATGTATAATAAACCATAGTTTAGCATAGTCTTGGGCGTTCTTGGTGAATAACAGTTTATAAAACAAAAATATCGTTTATTTTTCACCCGTGGTATTTTCCGATCAGTTTTGAATTCGGCATTGTAATTCTGTATTGAAAACTGATTATTTTTGGTTGAAAAGGACTTCCCGTCGTAAAATCCATTTCCGGTCGTAAAAGTGTGACCAGTTATAGCATTTGTTATAGCGTTTTGGCATTTTAAACGGAGACCGCGGCAAGCACACTGCTGTCGTCATTCGTGGAAGAAGAGGAAAATTTGCAAATTTACAATAAAGAAAATTAATTTGCGGCCAAGATGAGCTTCATGCAACCGAGTCCCGTGAAGTACGCGTGCTCCTGCGGCATCCTGAACCCGATCAACAAGCTCTTCTTCTGTCGCCACTGCCCGAAGCTCCGCTGCGGCTACTGTGTGACACACGAAATCGAGTCCCACTTCTGCTCCAATTGCCTGGAAAACATCCCGTCCACGGAGGCGCGGCACAAGAAGAACTGCTGTGCCAACTGCTTCGACTGTCCCTGCTGCCAGCACACGCTCTCGGCCAGGGCCACTACGGTGCCGGTGGTGCGCAAGTCCGAGGAATCGAAGGACGCCAAGAAACCTGAAGATGAGAGCGGAGACTCACCTGCGGCAGCATCTACGCCGCCCACCCCGGCGAGCAGCAAGCCCTCGGCGGTGCCCACCACCAAGAAGATGTACTACCTGTCGTGCCTGTCCTGCCGCTGGACCTCGCGGGACGCTGGCATTCCAGACCAGGGCGTGGCCACGGGCACCTGGCCAGACAACGAATGCCTGTATCAGGCGCGCTTCAACTCCTTGGTGGAGTACTTCCAGGCGGTGGTGCTGCAGGAGAAACAGGAGAAAATGGAGTTTATGCGGCGCAAGACCCCCAAGCAGCACAAGTTCCCCAGCCTCACTGACCGCACTGGTCTGACGGTGTCCCTCATTCGGCGTCAGATGGGTTGGAACGATAAGACCATTCCGAAGGCTAAGGCTGTGATCACGCCGGCAGAAGCCACGGCCGAGGTGGAGGAGTTGCCGGCCGACATCTTCACTGAGCCGCTGAATCTACGGAACGTAACGACGATCGCTCAGCGCCACAGCCAGCCGGCAGATCAGCCGACGGCCGTGAGCAGCCTGTACCCGCAGCGACGAACGCTGTGGATCAAGCGGTCGCTCCGCTGCCGCCAGTGTGAGCACAACCTTATCAAGCCGGAGTACCATCCCACGTCGATCAAGTACCGCATTCAGCTCTTCGCCAGCTGTCATGTGCCTGAGGTGGTAATGGTGCGCTGCGAGCAGTCGTTGGCGTCCGGCAAGAGCAACGCCATCCTGCTGAAGTTCACCAATCCGACTATGTACGACATGACTATTCGACTTTTGACCACAGCTCCGACCGAGGATGCCGAACCCGCTGCCGAGGGCAGCCGCATCAAAGAGGAGCCCGTCTCCTCGTCCCCACATCTTAGAGCTGCGGGCATCACCCTGTCGAGGCAAAATTCCACCCGGGAGGTGAAGCGCGAAGTGACGGATGTGTCCAATGCTGAGATTGTGCCTTTGGAAAGCGAGTTTGTGCTCAGCCAGCGCGACGACTCCAAAGAATTCGACGAGTACGTGCAGCTGCCCACGGAGGAGCCCAAGTTCATCGTGTGGCGCAAGGGCAACAAGGTGCTCATCCGGCTCCAGTTCACTCCGGCCGAGGAGCTGCCTGCCAACACAGACGTGGTGCTGGGCTTCGCCATGCAGTACACGTACGTCAACACAGTGACCAATGCCCCCGAGAAGAAGGAGCCTACCACTCACGCACTCTACTCGAGGGTGTTCATTAATGCGGGCGCTACTGAGCAGAAGGCCAACTGAAATGGAGACCCATTTATCCCATATATAGTACTAATTGAACTTAACTGCAACTGAAAGCCGCTTTATGAAAGCTAGGCTACTACATATAGATGTATTTATTGAATTAACCTACTCGTGGAAAAGCAGCTAGTATTACTGTTGAATAAACCGCTTGTTCTAACCCTACTCGGACGTCTTATCCACTTTGGGGGTGGCCAAACCTGTCCACTTCTCGCTCTCCTCCCACAGGAACTTTCCAAACTTTTCGTCCTTGGCAGCTGGAGCCACCTCCTTGGGTTTGCAATCGCTGAAGTAGAGACCGGTGACCTCCTTGAGTTCAGGATCAAGTGCTGCATAAATCGAGGTCTGTGCCCCACTCTTCGGTGTCTTCAAGAGCGGCCAAACCATTGGCTTTAAAAAGTACCTTAATTCGGGAATATTAAGACTGGTTTTTCCACTGATTCACTTTTCACTTACTGCACAAAGTTCGTCTGGAAGAAGGCCCAATTCCTCCCCAACTCGGTGTCCACAACACCTGGATGCAGGGAGTTCACCGTGACTCCTGTGCCCGCCAAGCGCTTGGCCAATTCCCGGGTGAACAGCACATTGGCCAGCTTGCTCTGGCTATAGGCTGAACCCTCATCATAGGACTTTTCGCTGTTCAAGTCGTGCACGTTGATGGAGCCTCGGGTATGCGCCAGACTGGAGACGACGACAATACGACTGGGAGCCGATTTCTGTAAAGTTAACCAGATTTGTATAAGATATATTTGGCTTATATACCCTCTTCCATACCTTGAGCACGTCCAGCAACAGGTTGGTCAGCAGGAAGTGGCCCATGTGGTTGACCCCCAACTGCATTTCGAAACCGTCCTTGGTCAGCATCTTCGGGCAGCGCATAACTCCGGCATTATTGATCAGGACATCGAGCTTCTGCTGCTCTTTCTTGAAGCTAATAAAAGGGTTCAGCGATTAAAACTGACAGCAGGTATAAGGGTTATAAGATGACTAACCCAGCAACGAATTTTCGAACAGAGTCCAAGGAAGACAAATCCAACTGGCGAGAGAAGACGTTCTGGTTGTTGGTCTCCCTGATAATCTCATCACGGGCCTTGTCACACCGACTTAGATCCCTGCATGCCATGTAGACTGTTCCTCCGCGTTTCGCTATCTCCAGGACCGTCTCCTTGCCGATTCCTGTGTTGGATCCCGTGACGATGAATACTTTTCCGGTTTCATCGGTCTGCTTGGTGAACTGGCCGCCTTGCATGTATCCCCTGTAATCAATAATCACGCTCTATTAGCATGGTAGCTGCAAATCGGACACCAATTCTTGAGAGTCATGGACTCGTCATACCAAATTTCATAAACATTTACAAGTCATGCGTATTCTAATCGACTTACTTCAAGAAATAGATAGCCGCGCCAATAATAGCCGGCCAGATAATTATCGGGCTCAGCAAACAGTCGATGAAAATGCACATTTTTGAGGAAATTTTCTTTGTTTTCTGAGGTAGAGTGGTGTCAGCTGGGAGTTTCCTCGTAGAATGCGAGCAAATCAGTCCGAGCAGCTGTTGATATACTTCTGAATGCTACTACGACCACCTCATGTATAGAATAACTGATTCTCAATGAGTGAATGTGAGAGCTACACAGCGCTCTTTTTGTAAATGTGTGTAGGGTAAGAGAACCAAAACTCATTCAGTGGAAAGCTTAAGGGAGAGACACTATACGAAATTCCCTTAGAACATTGTAAGATCCACTCTTAAGTTTACCAAAGATTATGTGGAGATAACCAAGGCCAAACAAATCAATATTCAACAATCCCTACAGGGAAATACGAATTCTCATTAATTAGTTTGAAGAGAAAATGTTGATTTACATTGTTAACAGTTTAAATATTATACGAATTAAAACTAATTAATGATATGGCGGTACTATTAATTAATCCACCTAAGATGCGCCCACGCCAGTCCACTTCTCGCTCTCAGCCCACACGAACTTGGCCATTTTGTCATCCTTGGCAGCTTTAGACACCTTCTTGGCCTTGCAGTCACTGAAGTAGAGACCAGACGCGTTCTTCAAGTCAGGATCCAGGGCGGCATACAAGGAAGTCTGCGCTCCAGACTTTGCTGTCTTGAAAAACGCCCAACGGAGAGGACTGGTCATAGCCCTAACAAGGTCAAATTATTATTAATCAATTCCCTGAACTGCCAGCGATTTACTTACTTTGTAAAGCCATTCAAATTTCTCCATATCTCAGTGTCCACAACACCGGGGTGCAAGGAGTTTACTGTGACTCCAGTTCCCTCCAAGCGCTTAGCCAATTCCCGAGTGAACAGAATGTTCGCCAATTTGCTCTGGTGATAGGCCCCGGTTTTACTGTACGACTTCTTGCTGTTCAAATCATTAACATTAATGGATCCTTTGGCGTGCAATGCGCTGGAAACGACGACAATACGACTCGGAGCAGTTTTCTACAAAGAATTTTAGATTCAAGGAGGGGGCAATGACAATCGATTAATGCTCACAATACCTTTAACACGTCCAGCAGCAAATGGGTGAGCAGGAAGTGGCCCACGTGATTAACACCAAACTGCAATTCGATGCCATCCTTGGTCAGAGATCTCGGGCAGAACGACACTCCAGCATTATTAATAAGGACATGGAGTTTATCCTGCTCGCGCTTGAAACTGTATAATTTAAGTTTGAATTATTTATTTGGGTTTTCGTCAAGGCAAAGTAGCTTACCCAGCTGCGAAGTTGCGAATGGAATCGAAGGAACTCAAGTCCAATTCACGGGAGTATATCTTCTGGTTGTTGGTCTCCTTGATGATCTCATCGCGGGCCTCATTACACCGGTTCATATCCCTGCATGCCATGTAGACGGTTCCGCCGCGCTTTGCTATTTCTAGGACCGTCTCCTTGCCGATTCCTGTGTTGCATCCCGTGACAATGAACACCTTTCCGGTTTCATCGGTGTTCTTGGTAAACTTTCCTTCACACATTTTGTCTTTTTATATTTTTGTTTTCCCGGCCGTTGTTTACTATTCACAGAAACAGAATAAGAGTAAAGCACGCTCTTACTGTCGCTTAAATACGATTTGGGCGTTAGAAAAGAGAGGGTACCCGATATACTAAAAATGCTGACCCACCATGACTGCGGTTCGAAACTACCAGAACAAAAAAACGAATCAATTTTAAGAGAAGATAATCAAGCGAATTAAACAAAACGAACCGAACTGGCCGAAGCCATTTGAACGTATACCAGTGTTCTAACCAATTACCATTATCATCGTATAAAGTACAATTCAGTCAACACGCTTGTGCCATATGTATGTATGTAAGGTAAAAAAGTAGTTGGAGCGGAGCTAATAAGCGAGCTCTTACGCTTGCTGAAACAAACACACTGGTTTTATGATACAACTGAGAGCGGAGCTGAGCTTATCAGCTATCAGCTGAGCTTATCAGCTATCAGCTCCGCTCTGTTGGATCAACCAAGCTTATTTGATTTTGTCAGCAGCTGATGGGCGCTGATGATTGCATAGTTTTTTTTTTTTAATTGCCCTGATGATCGGATAGAAATTTCAATAATTTCCCTATAAGGAAATACAAATTGTCATAAGTTAGTTTGAAGAAAAAATGTTTATTTACATTTTTAACAGTTAAATTATTGTATAAATTATTAAAAATAAATAATGATATGGCGGTCCTAAAGTACCGATTAATTATCCACCTAAGATGCGCCCACGCCAGTCCACTTCTCGCTTTCACCCCACAAGAACTTGGCCGTTTCGTCATCCTTGGCAGCTTTAGACACCTTCTTGGCCTTGCAGTCACTGAAGTAGAGACCAGACACGTCCTTCAAGTCGGGATCCAGGGCCGCATACAAGGAAGTCTGCGCTCCAGACTTAGGTGTCTTGAAAAACGCCCAACGGATAGGGCTGGTCACAACCCTAACCAAGTTAAATTATTATTAATCAATTCCCTGAAGTGCCAACTTTTTACTTACTGTGCGAAGCCATTCTGCAAGAATCCCATATGTCTCATGAGCTCAGTGTCCACAACACCGGGATGCAAGGAGTTTACTGTGACTCCAGTTCCCTCCAAGCGCTTGGCCAATTCCCGAGTGAACAGAACGTTCGCCAATTTGCTCTGGTTATAGGCCCCGGCTTTACTGTACGACTTCTCACTGTTCAAGTCATTAACATTAATGGATCCTTGGGCGTGCAATGCGCTGGAAACGTTGACAATTCGACTCGGAGCAGTTTCCTGCAAAGAATTTTAGGTTCGTAGAAGGGGCAATGATAATCGATTAATGCTCACAATACCTTTAACACGTCCAGCAGCAAATGGGTGAGCAGGAAGTGGCCCACGTGATTAACACCAAGCTGCATTTCGATGCCATCCTTGGTCAGAGATTTCGGGCAGAACGAAACGCCGGCATTATTAATAAGGACATGAAGTTTATCCTGCTCGCGCTTGAAACTGTATAATTTAAGTTTGCATTATTTATTTGGGTTTTCGTCAAGGCAAAGTAGCTTACCCAGCTGCGAAGTTGCGAATGGAATCGAAGGAACTCAAGTCCAATTCACGGGAGTATATATTCTGGTTGTTGGTCTCCTTGATGATCTCATCGCGGGCCTCATTACACCGGTTCATATCCCTGCATGCCATGTAGACGGTTCCTCCGCGCTTTGCTATTTCTAGGACCGTCGCCTTGCCAATTCCGGTGTTGGATCCTGTGACAATGAACACCTTTCCGGTTTCATCGGTTTGCTTGGTAAACTTTCCGTCACACATGTTGTCTTTTTATATTATTCTTTTTCCGGCCGTTGTTTACAATTGAGCGTTCTGAAACAGAATAAGAGTAAAGTCAGCTCTAACTGTCGCTTAAATACGTTTTGGGCGTTAGGAGAGAGAGGGTACACGATATACCTAACATGTAGACTCACCATGAGTGCGGTTCAAAACTACCAAAAGAAAAACGAATCGATTTTAAGAGAAGAAAATCAAGCGAATAAAAATTATTTTGCAAATATCACGTATACGACAAGGCCTCCGGCCCGAATCGATTTTAAGAGAACGCACCGAACTGGGCCGAAGTAATTTGAACCTATACCAGTGTTCTAGCCAGTTATCAATCTAGTATTATCAATTATCGTATACAGTCAATGCGCATTGCATTCAGCACGTTTATGCCATATGGTATTGTTTATAAATTGAAAAACCTTTTTAATTGCAATGCAATGTGTTTCTTGTTTTTCTTATTAGAATGTTTGGATATAATTTAAAATGAATTATGGGATAAATATTTAAAATCATATTAGAGGGAAGACGATAAACAGTTAGATTCAAATTTTGACTACGCAAGAGAGAGATTGCGTATACGACATGTTCTCCCGAAACAGATCCTTTTAAGGGAAAGTAAAACCAAATACTCTTTAAAACTATGTTATACTAATAAAATGTCTTTGGCAAAAAAAATGCCAATTTAATTAATAGAATTTAAATAAAACTTAAATACTTCACAATGTCTATTAATGGGGAATAATTGCCTTCAATCATTCCAAATCCAATTTGGATGTATCCCATTTTCGCTCCCAACCAGCATATTTTCAGTTGTGTTATCTTGAGCACCAGCAGCTATTTTATTTTCTTGTCAATTATGGAACTCAGGTATTGAATTCTTCACGAAGTTAGGATTCAGGATTCAGGCCACATCAGAGGCTTTAGGACATCCCTAAGCAATATGAACAATATGCAATAGCGTTTTACATAAAAAGACTGACAAGTTATGAAATAACCCTCGGAACTGTTTCACTTTCTGGCCAGTTCTGTGTTCCCAGATCACGGATTCAGGGCATTGGCCGTTACTCCAGTTTGCCGCATCAATAAAGCCGTTTACAGAATTATCAAAACAATCGATAAAGATGCAAATTTTTAATTGAGGAAATTTCTAGTAAAATATGAGAAAAATAGTCCGAGCAGCTGTTGATATACTTCTAAATATTAATATGATATCAGAATAACTGATATCCAATAATAGCGAAACATATAGAATATTTACGAAATTATCTGAGAATTCACCATGATCCACTTTTAAAGTGTAAGAGAACATAACCAGGAAGGTAAAAAATACCTACTTTTAAACCATCCTTATAGAGAAATTCGAATTCGCATTAGTTGTGGTTCGTTCGAAGACGAAATGTTCATTTACATTTTTAACAGTTGAAATTATTGTGCAAATTATTAAAAAAATAAATAATGAAATGGCTGGAAATACGAAGTACCGCTTAATCAATCCACCTTAGATGTGCCTACGCCCGTCCATTTCTCGCTTTCAGCCCACAAGAACTTGGCCGTTTCGTCATTCTTGGCAGCTTTAGATACGTCTTTGGCTTTGCAGTCGCTGAAGTAGAGACCAGATACGTTTTTCAAGTCAGTATCCAGGGCGGCATACAGGGAGGTCTGCGCTCCAGACTTAGCTGTCTTGAAGAGCGTCCAAAGAAGCGGCCTGATCATAAGCCTAATGAGTCGAATTATTATTAATCAATTCACTGAGCGTTTTAACTTTTACTTACTGTCCGAGGTCATTCTGCAAGAATCCCCAATTTCTCAGGAGCTCAGTGTCCACAGCACCGGGATGCAGGGAGTTCACCGTGACTCCAGTACCCTCCAAGCGCTTGGCCAATTCCCGAGTGAACAGAACGTTAGCCAATTTGCTTTGGCTATAGGCCCCGATTCTACTGTAGGACTTCTCGCTGTTCAAGTCCTTAACATTAATGGATCCTTGTGTGTGGGCTAAGCTGGAAACGTTGACAATACGGCTAGGAGCAGTTTTCTGCGAGAATTTTTGGTTCGTAATGTGGTATGGAAATCGATTTATGTTCACAATACCTTTAACACGTCCAGCAGCAAATGGGTGAGCAGGAAGTGGCCCACGTGATTAACACCAAGCTGCATTTCGATGCCATCCTTGGTTAGAGATTTCGGGCAGTGCATCACGCCGGCATTATTAATAAGGACATGAAGTTTATCCTGCTCGCGCTTGAAACTGTATAATTAAAGGTTAAGTTGTTATATTTAATCGTATTAATCTCAAGATAAAATAGCTTACCCAGCTGCGAACTTGCGAATGGAATCGAAGGAACTCAAGTCCAATTCCCGGGAGAATATATTCTGATTGTTTGTCTCCTTGATGATCTCATCACGGGCTCTATTACACCGATTCATATCCCTGCACGCCATGTAGACGGTTCCTCCGCGTTTCGCAATCTCAAGAACCGTCTCCTTGCCGATTCCTGTGTTGGCTCCCGTGACAATAAACACTTTTCCGGTCTCATTTGTCTGCTTAATGAACTGGCCACCCTGCATGTATTTTCTGAAATTAAATCACAATTTTTAATACTCCATGCTACTTTCTGAATAGTTGCCAAACATAATTGCGAGTCATGGGTTTATTACTCATGAAAAATTTCACCATTGTTACTTACCTCAAAAAATACATAGCCGCGCCAATGACAGCCGGCCAGAGAATTATGGGGCAGCACAAGCAACATGATAAACAACTCATTTTGTTTTATATTTTTCTTTTTCCGATGTTGTTTACAATTGAGCGGTCTGAAACGGAATAAGAGTGAAGCCGGCTCCAGCTGTCGCTTAAATACGTTTTGGGCGTTATCTGTGAGAGAATACACGACATACTAATAATGCTTACTCACCATGAGTGCGATTCGAAACTACCAGAAGAAAGAGCCGTAATAAGTTTGAAACGAAGAGAAACAAGCGAATTAAACCTTTGTGGAAAATATCACGCATACGACAAGGCCTCCTTTCCGAATCGATTTTAAGAGAACGAATAGAACTGCCCCGAAGGCAGCCGAAGCTTGTTAAGCAATTATCTTTTTGTGCATTAGGTGTATCTGTGTGCTTACCAATTAGCACCGTAAAAAGTAGAATGCAGCTTATGCCATATGGTAGAACATATATATCACTTATTAATTACAGTGTAATGTTACGGATATTTTTTTCTTGTTTATCATTTAAAATACAATTTGAATCCAATATGGATATATATTAAGGGAGAGACGAAGAGCATTTCGATTTAATTTGTGTATAGCAAGAGAGAAATTTCGTATACGACATGCACTCCCGAATTCGATCGTTTTAAGAGAACTGCCTGAAATTCATGTTCGTGAATCAGATAAGCACACACATTTTGTTTACATTGGCTCTTTAAAGTTTATTTTATTATTTTGAACTAAGATCAAATAAGACAATTCACTTAAATTATAACGAAATAGTCCTTAATACTGTGGTATATTATTAATGTGTCTTTGGAAAATCAAATGCAAATTTAATTTATAGAATGTAAATAAAACCAAAATACTTCACAATAAACTTTTTTAATTCTAATCCAATTTGGATGTATCCAAACCTGTCCACTTCTCGCTCTCAACCCACAGCCGCCTGGCAGTTGCGTCATCCTGAGCGGCAGAAGCCGGTTCTTCTTCCTGGCAATTATGAAAGTAACGTCCTGATACCTTTACCAAATCAGGATCCAGGGATAGGTATATGGAGTTCTGGGCTCCACTTTTCGGCGTCTTTAGAATTGGCCACATCAGAGGCTTCAGGACATACCTATGCATTATGAACATGTTATAGCATTTTCCATATAAAGACTGATTGGACCATACCTTATGAAGTAGCCCTTGGGACTGTTCCAATCTCTGGCCAGTTCCGTGTTCACAGATCCCGGATTCAGGGCATTGACCGTGACACCAGAGCCCTCCAACCGTTTGGCCAGCTCCCGGGCAAAAAGAACGTTGGCCAACTTGCTCTGACTGTAGGCGGCGATCTCATCGTAGGACTCTTCGCTATTCAGATCGCTGAAGTTGATGTTGCCCTTGGTATGGGCCACACTCGATAGGACGACAATGCGGCTGGGCGCAGATTTCTAAATATTTATAATGAGTTAACCATAAGTCGTAAATATAAAATATTTTTAATACTTTCAAAACATCCAGTAACAGGTTGGTTAGCAGAAAGTGGCCCATATGATTGACGCCCAACTGGGACTCAAATCCATCCTTGGTTAATCTTCGAGGACAACGCATAATGCCAGCATTATTGATTAGCACATGCAGCTTATCCTGCTCTCTCTTGAACCTGTTTAATGATGGTATATAAAAAAGCAAAGTGTTATAAGTTTAGTTAAAATTTTGAAATGCAATGACCAAACACATAACCAATTTATATTCTTGATCAGCATCAACAGAAGAGGCGATCTAGCCTTTCCGGTAGACATTTCATTTCATTCCTTGTTATAAAAATGCTCACCCAGCCACGAATTTGTGAATGGAGTCCAGCGAGTTCAAATCCAATTCGCGTGAGAAAACATTTGGATTATTCGATTCTCTGACTATTTCCAGGCGGGCCTGTTCGCATCTCTTCAGGTCTCGGCAAGCAATATAGACAGTTCCGCCGCGTTTGGCCAATTCCCGAACTATCTCCTTTCCGATTCCGGTATTTGATCCGGTAACAATAAATACCTTTCCCGGTTCATCGGTATGCTTCTTGAACTGGATGCCTTGTTTATGTTTTCTTAAGAAAATACAATATCAATTAGATTTAAGATTGTTTAATATGTATTTTCATATTAAGAAACTTACCTTACATAGTAAATTACTGTTCCTAGTATTGCTGGGAGTATTATTACAGGACTCAACAAACAACCGATGATGGCACACATCTTGACGGCTATTAAGTACTTGATTGGTACTGTTTGGTGTGTTTGCTGGCGTTTCGCTTCGTTATAAGCCAGTAAGCCTACTGCTCTCTTTTTATATAAATGCTCTTAGCTAGGTACACATATGTTACCTGTACCTAGTCAAGTCATGCTGATAAGCTCCTGTACCTGTAAAAGTGGAAGCGCACAACAACAGAGCAAATTATCGAAAAAAGAGACAAATCATGCTCTTAGCAAATTCAAACACTTCTTAAAAATTATCTTTTAATAAGGAAAACCATATGATGACCTCGCTCATTTGTGGGGCTCGCTCACAAAATGGGGATCTAATATCTAAGTGTCTACGTATTTATTTACTTAAGAGAGTGCCTAAACCAAACAGATGGATTTTTGTCAGTCTCTAGAAAGCACTGCAAAATATTTGAAGGTTTATTGAAAGTTAACAATATATAAAAGATGTATAAATAAAATTTTAATTTTCGTTAATGTTGGTTTTCACACAAAATGTTGTTATTATGTTCTAATAGTTGTTCCGTGGACTTTGTCTAGCGCTGCTAATAAAATTTAACATTATACATACATTATATATATAAGTACCAAATAAGGTGAAACGTTAAAATCATATAAACTTGCTTAAAGGTGCGCACCCGTCCACTTCTCGCTCTCTGTCCAAAGAAATTTGGCAGCATCATCGTCCAGGGCAGCGGATCCCACTCGTTTGGGCCTGCAGTCACTAAAGTATTGTCCAGAGACCTCCTTCAGGATTGGGTCCAGAGCTACATATAGAGTTGTCTGAGCTCCACTTCTGACAGTCTTTATGAAAATCCAAATAATCGGTGCGATGAGCAATCTGGAATTATACCATTATTAAACCCAGACCATGTAAGTCAAGAAAGAACTTACTTTCCAAGTTTGGTTCGCAAGAAGAACGTGTTCCGAAAGAGCTCCGTGTTGACAACACCTGGATGCAAGGCGTTTACCGTGACTCGAGTTCCCCGCAGACGTTTGGACAGTTCCCGCGTAAACATAATATTGGCCAACTTGCTCTGGCAATAGGCCTGCTTTCGATCGTAGGACTCTTCGCTGTTGAGATCATCCTGATTGATTGAACCGAAGCGATGGGCAATACTGGACAGGACAACAATTCGACTGGGCGCGGAATTCTTGAGCACATCCAGGAGCAGGAGTGTGAGCAGGAAGTGACCCATGTGATTTACTCCTATTTGCATTTCAAAGCCATCCGTTGTTAGCATCTTGGGACAGTCCATGACCCCGGCATTGTTAATGAGTATGTGCAGTTTCTTTTGCTCCTTCTTGAAGCTAAGAAGGTAATTTAAAGGAATATATTATTCTTAGTAAGGAACTAACCGTAAGACTACCAACCCAGCTGCAAATTTTCTTATGGATTCCATGGAGCAGAGGTCCAATTCGCGTGCAAACACATTCGGGTTTTTAGTTGCCTCAACTATTTCCTTGCGGGCTTGCTCGCACTTCTGCATATCGCGACAAGCCATGTATATAGTGGCTCCTCGGCGAGCCAATTCCAAGACAGTCTCCTTTCCGATTCCCGTATTACATCCAGTCACAATCGCCACTCTTCCTGTCTCATTCGTTTTCTTGGTGAATTGACCTCCCTGCATATAGCGCCTAAGGTGAGGGGGCTTGAACCATCGCTCAAAGTCTGCCAAGTATATTCACCTGAGCAAATAAATTCCCACGGCGGATAGAGCAGGTCCATATACCAACGGACTCAAGACGCGCTTGCGAATTTCACCCATATTTTTCGCTCCGATTACGTTCAGCTCCAAGTGTCGACTACCGATTCGGAGCCCCTTGCTTTTTTCTATATTTGAATAATAACCACTGACTGCGATTCATATAAAAGACATATAAACCCCCCATAGACCGGTATAAAAACACGGTAGTAGCTGTGAGGTCGGAGGGTTTATGATGGTGACAATTAGGAGAAAAGTAGATGTTTCCTAGACTCGTTTTTATCAGACCAAAGATCAAGAACGGCGTATCATTAAAACCATTATAGCTGTTGATCTAATAGTAGAACAGAGGCAGAGGCAGATGTCAGACGAAATGATTATCGTTGCCAGAATGATTGAATTACACACCGAAAGAATTCCCAATACCAATAAATGATTAGAGTTAATTATGTTATGGCTTTTGATAAAGCCATTTGATTTTTCCTTACATCATTCAAGTCACTGGCCTTTATCGCTGACTCGTATAATTGATATTTTATGGGCCCACTTAATTACAATATAACTACAACAGCTCTTCCAGTATTCGTTTTATTTTTTTATAACTAAGAGTGACTTTTAAAACAATTAACTTGGCTTTAACAGCGACTAGGTGCCTAATACTACCCTCCCCGCCCAAGTCAGAGAGGAATGCCAGCCCATTTCTCCGTCTTGGCCCACAGCCACTGGCCCATCTGATCGTCTAGGGCTGCTGGGGCCAATGGGGCCGGCTTGCAGTCGCTGAAGTATTGACCGGATACTGTTTCGAGATCGGGGTCTAGGGCGGCGTACAGAGTGGTCTGGGCCCCGTTCCTTGGAGTTTTCATGAGCGACCAGAGCAGCGGCCTCAGGATGGTTCTGAAAACAGGCAGACAATTAAGTCACCTTAAATTTGAGGGAGCATTTCGAAGAGGACACACTCTACCACATACTGAGCAAACTTGGTTTGAAAGAAGATCACATTCCTTGCTATCTCCGTGTCTGCAATCCCTGGATTGAGGGCATTGACCGTGACCCCGGTTCCCTCCAGGCGTATGGCCAATTCGCGAGCAAAGAGTATATTTGCCAGCTTGCTTTGGCAGTAAGCAACTCCCTCGTCGTAGGACCTGTTGCTGTTTATGTCCTCCGACTGGATCTGGCCGCGTTCGTGTGCCTTGCTGGACACCACAACCACCCGACTAGGAGCTGATCTCTTCAGCACATCCAGTAGCAGGTGGGTGAGCAGAAAGTGGCCAATGTGGTTCACTCCCAGGTGCATTTCGTATCCCTCCTTGGTGAGGCTGCGCGGCACCCAGAAGACACCGGCGTTGTTGATCAGTATGTGCAGTTCCCTTTGCTCTTTCTTGAAGCTGTTGGTCAATAACTTATCAGTCTTATGAGTTCCAATTTGGTTTAAGGTTTGACTCACCCTGAGACGAATTCTCGAATGGAATCCTGAGAAGACAAGTCGCATTCCCGAGAGAAAACGTTCGAGTTCCCAGTTGTTTTGACGATCTCCCGCCGGGCCTTTTCACCCTTTTCCTTATTTCGACACGCCATGTAAATGGTAGCGCCTCTCCTGGCCAACTCCATCACAGTCTCCTTGCCAAGACCCGTATTTCCGCCCGTGACGATGGCAACTTTTCCAGTCTCATCGGTCTGCTTCCTGAACTTCCCCCCCTGCATATACAGCCTGAATCGGGTTAAATTTACTCCAGTTAATCGGTGATTACTAAGAACGTTGTCGTCACTGGTATACGTCGTTGATAACGCCTTTTCAGCGTTACATTTTAAATAGGCGACTCACTACTCACCTCAAACAGAAAGCGATAATGCCGAGAATGCCATGGGTAAGAAGCGCAGGGGCAATTTTTTGCAGAAAATTGACTATTATTTCCATATTGAGCTTAGCAGAGCTCCGGCCCGAGCCAAATCGTGGTCTTTTCTTGAATGCGTCGGCGGCCGAAATTCTGTGGGCTAATAAGTGATTTCCGAAGCGATTGCTGAACGACAACTGATAAAACTGATAGTAACGGGGGTAGCTATGGGCAGCCCGTAATCTAAACACAGCTCTTCAGCACATTTAGCATAGATAATTTCGCCAAGAGTCCGAAAAGCGAGTCACCGTCACGGGCGTTTCAATGTTTCCGACTGAACCAAATGAACCCAAACTTTTGGACCGAAGGCTCGGGTTAAAAATGTAATGGATATACATATCTATTTTAAACAAATGATGTAGAATTGCCCATCCAACCGGTTTCGCAGTGCATATACGAACGTACACACTTGATCCACAAGCTTTCAACGGTATTTGGCCGGCTAACTGCTGTTAGTCAAGTTAACATAGCCGTCAGTAAGTAGAAACACTCATTTGTCAACTGTAAAAAACTATAGATTTATGCGAAGTTTTATGCAAAGTCTTTTTTAAACCCAAAACTATTCGGTAGGATCTATTTTGATAATCGTGGGCTGTGTCCACTTTTCACTAACCGCCCAGAGCCACTTGGCCGTTTGTGAATCTGTGGCAGCCGGCGCCATTTCCTTGGCCTTGCAGTCGCTGAAGTATTGCCCCGTCACCTTTTCCAATTCCGGTTCTAGGGCTACATACAAGGTGGTCTGGGCTCCGTTCTTGGGAGTCTTAACAAATGGCCAAAACAGGGGCTTCACAAATAGCCTACAGGAAAGAGATATTTAATAAAACAGTGGGATGAGGGGAAAACAGGAAAATACTCACCCAGCAAAGAAGTTATTGAAGATGCCCATGTGCCTAATAATCTCCGTATCCACTACACCGGGATGTAGTGCGTTAGCCGTCACTTTAGTTCCCTGCAATCGGTTGGACAACTCCCGTGTGAACAGGACGTTGGCCAACTTACTCTGGCTGTAGGCCTTGCCTTCGTCATAGCCCTTGTCGCTGTTCAGGTCCCCAGTGTTGATTTCGCCGCGAGTGTGCGCCAAGCTCGAAACATTCACAATCCGGCTGGGGGCTGATTCCTGCGGGAATAGGGATAATAAACAGGCTGAACAAGCTATGGTATTTAAGAAGTTAAACCTTAAGTAGGTCCAATAGCAAGTTCGTGAGGAGGAAGTGACCCATGTGATTGACGCCCAGCTGCAGCTCAATGCCATCCAACGTCAGGGAACGGGGGCAGCGCATCACACCGGCATTATTGATAAGGATGTTAAGGCGTTGCTGCTCCCGTTTGAAGCTGTGGGTATGGGAATCGCATGTTGGACATAATTCCCTTTGAATGTTTAAAGTTTCCAGGGACTCACGCTGCGACAAAGTGGCGGATGGATTCCTGAGAGGCGAGATCACATTCCCTGCAGTATACGTATTTGTTTTTTGTTTCCAAAACGATTTCCTCGCGGGCCTGTTGGAAATTAAGAGTTGTTTATATCGCTTTTTTAGGAGTAATCTCCGCTTAGACTAATGAGCTTACCTCTTCACACTTCTTTAAGTCTCGGCAAGCCATATAGACGGTTCCTCCGCGCCTCGCAATCTCCCGCACCGTCTCCTTGCCTATTCCTGTATTCGCTCCCGTGACAATAAACACTTTGCCGGTTTCGTCCGTTTCTTTGGTAAACTTGCCGCCTTGCATAAGATCTCTGGAAAGGGAAAAAACTGTCAAAACTGGACGTCTGGTGTGGAAAGTAAAACACCTACTTTACGCCACAGGCCACGCCCACCGTGGTTCCAGTGACACTAAGCCAGAACACGGTGCGGCTCTTTAAAAACGCAAATAAAGACATATTTCGAAAATAATAAATAAAACGAGTTGGACTGTCAAATCGATTTAATCTACTATCGATAGTTCTGATATATTGTACGATCGATTTTTGACAATATTGTCTGGTAAATTTATTTAGCAGCAAAATAACTTTCAATGTAATATTATTGCTACATATAAAAATGTTTAATTAAAATAATTTTTCGTTTTGTTTTGATTCTCGTATTCCGAACAATCGACAACCAAGCAAACAGCTGTGCAAACAGCTATCGATACTGGGCTATCGATAATTACCATCATCTGTGGCTGAGCTTTGTGTTTTTGTTGTTTTTGTTTTTGATGACTGCAACCAAGTTTACACGTAAATAATCTAATTGCGTTAATTAATTGCCTTCGCTGCACAACAAAGAGTACCTGCAGCTCCAAGTGGGGTGATATCCGAGAGCTCAGACAGAAAATCCCCTCAAGGCAGACGGGACAACAATGCGACGCAATGCGTAAGTCAACGCCAACTCGACTGTTGCTTTTCTTTTCAGTTGCTTCAAGGCGAGTTTAAAGTGAGAGCAATTTGACAAGTGTTTTTCTCCACAGGCGACCGCAGCATCACAATCTGGAGGACGTGGATCCCGACGACGTGGAGGACATCTTCGCCCGTCCTGCCTACGACGACGATGAGTTTGTCGACCTGCTGCCACTGGCCCGGAGACCCAACGGCCATGCCAGGCTGGGGCGCTTCGAAAACACGCTGGAGGTGAAAGTCCAAGAGGGCGACACCCTGCAGGCGCTGGCCCTGCGCTTTCACTGCTCCGTGGCGGACATCAAGCGGCTGAACAAGATCGACCGCGAGAACGAGATACACGCGCATCGCGTCATCCGAATTCCGGTCACAGTGCACAACGTTCTGCTGGGCAACGGCGGTCCCGACGCCCTACCCGCCGTTCACAAAAGTGGCAACAACAGTCCCAGGCACAATCTCGAGAGGGAACCAGCTCCTGAACGCAATCCTCTGGAGGATGCGCGCCAAATGCTGGACGAGCGCCTTCTGGTCGCAGCGGTTAACGCTTCCGGAGCTATTGACGATCAGCCGTCGACGAGTAGGGCAGCCAGGCAATTCTACGAGGGAGCACAGGGTTCCCCCAACGACGAAGGTGAGTCCAAGAGCTGGTGAAGATTAGCTTAGAAATTATCGCGGTTTTTGGTGGCCTTTAAGTTGACAGTGTTGGAAGTTGCACGCATATATTTTAGTATATTTTCTGGTATATTTTTCTAAAAACATTCGATAGTGCCGGCCATTTATTATCGATAGGGTCATCGAGGCTGTGACATCACTATTTGACAGCGTTTTGCCAAATTGTTTAGTCATTCCTATCCGTAAAACAAAAGAAAAACATAGCTTGGACTTACTTTTCACCGTTAAAAACATAATAATCCGCAACTAAGCAAGATGCCGGACTATCTGGGAGACGACCAGCGCAAGGTGAAGCACGATGAGAAGGAGGATAAAGAGATCAAATCGCTGGATGAGGGCGACATTGAGCTGCTGAAGACGTATGGCCAGAGCCAGTACCACAAGTCCATAAAGGCCATCGAGGAGGATATCCAAAAGGCTGTTAAGCAGGTCAACGAGCTGACCGGGATAAAGGAGAGCGACACGGGACTGGCGCCGCCCGCGCTCTGGGATCTCGCTGCGGACAAGCAGATCCTGCAGAACGAGCAGCCGCTGCAGGTGGCCCGCTGCACCAAGATAATCAACGCGGACTCCGACGACCCCAAGTACATAATCAATGTTAAGCAGTTCGCCAAGTTCGTGGTGGACCTGGCCGATTCCGTGGCCCCCACCGATATCGAGGAGGGAATGCGCGTTGGCGTCGATCGCAACAAGTACCAGATCCACATCCCACTCCCTCCGAAGATCGATCCCACGGTGACCATGATGCAGGTCGAGGATAAGCCGGATGTTACCTACAGCGACGTGGGCGGTTGCAAGGAGCAGATCGAGAAGCTGCGTGAGGTGGTAGAGACGCCGCTCCTGCACCCGGAGAAGTTCGTCAACCTGGGTATTGAGCCACCCAAGGGAGTGCTGCTGTTCGGTCCCCCTGGCACTGGCAAGACCCTGTGCGCTCGTGCCGTGGCCAATCGTACGGACGCCTGCTTTATCCGTGTCATCGGCTCCGAGCTGGTGCAGAAGTACGTGGGCGAAGGAGCTCGCATGGTGCGTGAGCTGTTCGAGATGGCCCGCTCCAAGAAGGCCTGCCTTATCTTCTTCGACGAAATCGACGCTATTGGTGGCGCGCGTTTCGATGATGGCGCCGGTGGCGATAACGAGGTGCAGCGCACCATGTTGGAGCTGATCAACCAGCTAGATGGCTTCGATCCGCGTGGCAACATCAAGGTGCTCATGGCCACCAACAGACCCGATACTTTGGACCCGGCGCTGATGCGTCCTGGTCGTCTGGACCGTAAGGTGGAATTTGGTCTGCCCGATCAGGATGGCCGCTCGCACATCTTCAAGATCCACGCCCGCTCCATGTCCGTGGAGCGTGATATTCGTTTCGATTTGCTTGCTCGTCTCTGTCCCAATTCCACTGGTGCTGAGATCCGGTCGGTGTGCACGGAAGCCGGCATGTTTGCCATCCGGGCACGCCGCAAGGTGGCCACCGAGAAGGACTTCCTCGAGGCCGTCAACAAGGTTATCAAGAGCTACGCCAAGTTTAGCGCCACCCCCCGCTATATGACCTACAATTAAGTTAATATTTACCGGCACTGATTTGTATCCTCTGAGAGAGAAACTGTAAAAGATCCTGCAGCTGGCATTTCATTGAATAAAACTATAGAACTATACCTCCATAAACTGTCAACTTACAGGCTTGTGCTTTAATTTTAATTAATTAATCTTGAAACTTTATTCCTAGCCAATATGGAGCAGCCGTTCGAGGAAACTGTGGGCCTACTGGTGGACAGACATGCTCCCTTGGTGCGTCCCATCCCAGGACCCTCGCTGAGTGCCATCGACTGGTCCGGGTCCGACTGCGACTTGTCCTGGATCTGCCTGCTGATCTTCATACTCGCCCTGTGCGTCGTCATACCGCTGGTGTACGTCATCTACCTGGCGGAGCATCCGCACAATCACAATCACAGCGCCCAGTAGCTAGGTGGCCGGCTCCCCATGGTTAATGCCTACGAAGTGATCATCATTCCAAATGTACCGGCAACTCCTCAACCTCTCACTCTCTCACACTCTTCAGCTCAGTCTGTGGCGCATTTAAAATGCAGTTCGGACGATGGAATTTATTTTTATATCTAAAGGTAGACTTTTATAAACGGACTATTGTCGAAATAATAATAACTCTTTGCACTGTACTCTGTACTACTCTAAAGAACTGCGATTCGGGTGCTTCCGCATAGCATAGGAAATGTTTAAGCATGTATGTATGCTCGACGGCACTGTTGGCCCAACCTAACTAACTTATGAACCAGCCTAAGATCCGATTGTGTTGTGAATTCGTGTAGCTGTAAAACCCCCGAAAGATGTACTATTCTATACGATTTATTGAGTACAATTATGTAACATTTAAACTAGTACACGGGTGAAATGTAGCATTGTTCGCTTACGCCTAGCAAGTACATAATACATATCTTAGAGCTAAATAAATAGTATCCATGGATATAAGATTTACGTAATAGTAAATACGGACTACAATTAACAAATGGCGCACGCTGGGTGCCGATTGAAGTTAAGTACTTTGTTGTGTGTGTGATAATATTGGTCTGGGGAATGGAGGCCATCCATGGCACTTGGTTTTTGGCGAAGTTTTGGTTTTGATTATGTGCTGCGTGTGCCTCACCGTTATCGTGCATTTTCCCACTCCGGGAAGATCAACTAATGGCTGCACACCGCACAAAGCCCCTCTTGCATATTCACTTGAACTTTAAATTCTCAAAGAAAGCAATATTGCTCCGGAGGAAGCCGTGCCGCACGGGCACAGGACTCGCTGGCGAGGCTATGGGTGGATTGCCCTCGGAGTGTAAAGATGGATCGCTGAAATGAAATATATTATCGTAATTGCACTTTAAAGCCCATAACAACATACGTTTCGAGCGATGAAAGGTCCGAGGCAATCGTGGACTCATCCGCTACCTCAGCCATGGAGACAGCGTGCTCCAGTCTGTGACGTTTAGGCAATGAGGTCCCTGGCTTATTGGGTGCATCTGGCGGGGCAGCGAGTCTTACCTGCAGCATGAAAACCATTTCTTATTCTGAACTCAAGCTACATAATTTTTAACTCTTACCTGCCGCCACCTGCGCTGGGGTTGCGTGTGCTTGCTGGTCAGGAGGAACGCCTGGGCCAGAGCCTTCACGGATGGCATGGCATGGCCCAATTCAACTTCGATGACCGGCCTCTCCGCCGCAGGAGTGGGTGGTTCCGGCTAGGGAAAGGGGATTATGTGGTTACCAAACGCTTGGACTCTAGCACTAGCCACACACTCACCACATCATCTTCGTCGACTGACAGAACCTGACTGGGATCGATGAGGCGGCGTTTGGGCTGCAAAAATCTGAAAGCTGGAGGTGTGGATCCCCGAGTGGGTGTACTGGCAGGGGAACCTATGGTGGGCGCCGAGTCCCCCGGCCCAAACTGGAGGACCACAGGTCGTTCCCGTTTCTTCGAGACAGATGAGTCGATGGAGGACACAGAAGGCGAAGCACTCTGTGCGGACTCCATGGACGATGAGGTGGAGCTGTTGGGATGCTGTGGCTGCTCCGAGGCTGGAGCAGCCCTGATAACCGTCGTTTCCTGCTTATTAAAATCGTAGATGCGCACCGTGTCGGACTCATCGCTGGTTGTAGTGGTCGTCGTTTGCAGCGAGTGCAACGAGGGATTCGACTGGGAGTCTAAGGACTCGTCCAGGACCTGAACTGGCAAGGCTTTATACACCGACTCCAGTGGCTGGTCCTGCTCTGTGGCAGCCTGGCTTGCTTTTTGAGCCTTTTGATAAAACATTTTTGGTTTGGTAGTAGGTTGTTTTGGTTTGTTTGCAGGTGGTTTGTGTGTTGTTTTGTTGGTTAGTGCAGGATAGTTACGGTTAGGGTTTAAATGAAAAGAAAAAGTGTTTTAGTACCAAGATATTAGTGTAGGTGTAGGTGTAGGTGTGGGCGTGGATTTGTAGTCGAGTGTGTGATGTGGTGGGTGAAAACGCTCAGGCAGCAGCATGCAGGCGAATTATCTTAGTTACACATTTAAGGTCATTCGGGTAGTTACGATCGCTGGCAATGATCTCGAAACAAATGCTGTTAGTCAAATCCAAAGCAACCCCAAACACAAAGTTGACTATTTCGGTTAATGCTCGATTCTGTACTCACCAATTCGATGGGTTCTTGGATGGATACGGTACTAAAAACATTTGTTTCTGCGGTTCAGTGTTCGATTTGTTTAAAGTTTGGCTTTATTTGGAATTAATGCATAATAGATATTGCTAGGCATACGTGTACGGTTTTTTATAAGAAAAGAGCATTAGCGGAGTGCATACAGATACGGTACAGAAATTAATATATAATTTTGTGTTTGTAAAATTAACAGCAAGATAATGAATATTAAAAACAAACGTAGCATTAGCATTACGCAAGTATAAAGTTATTTTCTAAATTACAATTAAAACACTAGCTCGACACTCTCGTTGGTGGAAATGCAAAGTTAGCTTGTTGTTGCCGCTTGGTTGGCTGGTTGGTTGTTGGTGCAAGTGGTGGTGCAGTGGATAGATCTGGGCCAGGACTCGGTCCTTGCCATCAGATCTCCGTCCAGTGCGGGAGATTCGGTGTGCTTTTTGTTTTAGTTTTTTATTCCCGCCCCTGCCCATCTCATTTCTATGTACAAGGAAATTGGCTTTGCTATACTGACTAGTGTTTAACTTCTGTTTTGACTAAGCTAAGCGCGATTTGGCAAATATCTCTCCAGGCCAAGGCTAAGGCCCTACCCGATCCCCAATGGTTCCCGTTCCCCATCAGCTAATATCTAGAAGAGCAGACTATTGTTGCTATACTTGGCGTCCGCACCGCTGAAGCCGTTCAGGCAGCTGTCTACCCCCGAGTCGCCCTGGTCCTCCGTTTCCGGCCGGAGCGTCAGCTTCCCACCCAACGCCTCGCTCTCGAACAGCGGGTTCATCACGAAGTCCTTTGAGGTGGATGACACCGCTCGGAAGCTGTTTCGCTTGAGGTCCTTGTGCAAAAGTTGCTTTTCGAACTGGGTCAGGACGCCGGCGGAGGGTCCACCCCCTCCCGCCCCTTGACGCCGCTTGGACACGGACGAACCGAAGGACATCCCACTCCCATTGCTGTGGAGACTCAGGCTGGACTGCGTGTGCCGCTTGGGCAGTGAGCTGTAGCTGCTCCGCCAGGAGCGCTGTGACCTTACCTCAAAGTCATCGTCTATGTCATCGCCCAGACCCGACTCCCGGTAATGGGAGGCCGAGGTGGAGGGGCGTTCAAGGGTCGCTGACCTTTCGTAAGCCAATGAGTGCGGGGCGGTGGAGGCAGAGGTACGGGGAGAGGGGCGGCTGTTAATGAACTTAAGCGAGCTGCTACGGCGCACTGGCGTGGATAGGGTCCAATGAGAGAGGTCGGCAACGTTACTCTGAGCGCTACTTGAAATGCGGCCATGCGGTGGAAGTGGTTCTGGTTCTTGATTTACCTCGTTGATCACGATGTCCTCGACGTCCTCACCAGCGCTTCGCCGCTGATCCACAAAGGAGCTGGCGGCAGTGGCCCTCACAACTCCCGTGCTGTCTTTGGGGGCGTTATTTATGTAGTAGTCGCGGCTGTACCTGGTGGATTGAGATTAACAGTGGACGGTGAAGAAAAATTAGTTAGACGTGGAGATCAGAGAACGAACCGCTTGTAATCCGTTTGGGGCGACGGAGGGTCCGTGTTTTCAGTGAGTGCTGAGGCCAGAGCCTTTTGCTCTGCACTGGGACTGATATTTGGCACGTCCATGTACCGCTCTTGCGTACCACTGATGCGCTGCTTCAGGGCCTCGGGAGCGTATGGGTTGTTTGGCATTTCGACGGCATTGTACCATTTCTTCACCTCGCGCTCGGCAATTGAACCTGCAAGTGGTTTCAGAGAGGGTTGAGATTCAGGGACTATGGTACGTCTGTTTCCATCGAAATTATAAAGCTGTCAACTCCCAGGAGCAAATAGTAATCAGTGGACCAAGTTACACCTCCCAAATTTAAAGAAAAACCATAACATTTCTGAATTTTCATAGAATATCATATCAGAACAATAAAGTTTATTTAAATTTTTAAAAATGGTTAATAGTATGTTAGTAAAATCTGTTGTTTTTATAAAGTGTGTATTTAAATAAACTTAATCGTTAAGCTGAATCAGAATCTCGACGTTGATATAATAATTAAAGTTTCTTGGCTTTTCTTTTACACAAGCTTATAGTTTTGCTTTTGAACTTGGGATTGTTCTCAACTGAGGTAAATTTGTGAACCTATATCGATCCAAAAATTACTTTTCGCCCCTTGAGATTGACCCACCCGAACGCCAGGTGGATTTGCGTGGGTTATACATACAATACAGCGGGCAGTAGAGCCAGGCTAACACAGACACAATATAGCAAACCATAGAGGGAGGACAACAAACACCGAGTGATGACATTTATGGCCACAACCTTGCGTTACCTGGCACAAATCGCCGCAAGAGTACAACATCATCATCTTCGGCGGCAACACCGTCTTGTGGGGCAGCCGGTGGGCCACCGTGTGACAGGTCGGTAGTGTAGCTACCGGACCATTTTAGGGAACCATTTGTTAGTTTTCCGTTAGTGCGTCTGCTACCCGAAGGAGGGTTGTTAGTTAGGGTTAGGGGACGATGCAAGTTAGAGTGCAGGGTGCTGTTAGAGTTAGTGTTAGTATTCTGGGACCGATGCTCGTCCAGGACTAAAACCGTCTGACTAACAAACTCCTGCTCTGAGTCACCATCTCCGTTGAAGGTCTCGCAGGCAGTGGAGGGCTCACTGTCGTCGCTATAATGCGACTCTGTACTTAATTGATCTGAGAAGAGAATTTCATTGATAAAATTATATGTTATGTCACTCAAACTAAACACAATTAGAGATTCAGTCCCTACATCGTGTTCATATGACATATCACAGGAGGTTTGGCTGGCCATATCTAATCTAACGGTTGCTGCAGAATATTTACTTTTACTGACATTTTCTAAATGCTTTGAATGAGATTCAAGCTTATCGTCCGTACTAATAAAATGATGCGATTCATTTTTATCTATATGGTGTTTATGAATCGAATGAGATTCAGGATTGTTCTCTGAAATAAAAAAACATTGGGGCTCTTCTGCGCCTGCCTTAACTTCATCTATCAAGTCAGTTTCAGTCTCAAAAGTATCTAATGGGTCAGTATCAAAAATCGGAGTAGCTGCTCTTTCTGCTGGGGGTTGCAACTCGCTGTAAGATGCTAAGCTATCTTCGTTTAGTTCTTCAAAAATGCTGGGATGGGTTTCATCGTCTATGCTGTCTTCTATGGAGTCAAAGGAACTGAGGTACTTGTGCATGATCAAAGAGCGGCGTCGCCTGCGTTCAATTGTAGCCAGCAGTCTTTTGTCTTTTATGTAAAACTTGCAAATGGTTCCCAAGAGATTCAACGACTCGGACTTTACAGGAGAGTTTCCATCGCTCGGTGTTGTGTCGGGAATATTTGGCTGTCTTCGCAGGCACTTCTGAGACGTTTTACCTAGAGCGGAGCAGTCACTCTTTAAGGAGTCTATAGATGAATTCCTTTCAAAATGAGGATCCACTACAGGTTTTGCAGGCTCCGTTATACATTTTTCTGATAACTGGTCTCCTGTATTGATTATTTGCTGATCGTTTGTTGGTACTTCAGACGGCGATAGTTTTGAAAGCACTGCGATGGTTTGTCCTTCTGGATCTGTTTTCTCAGCGACAGATTCCTCCTCTTGTAAAGATAATGTTTCAGAAATGAGTTCCTGTATCGTGTGAGGAGCCTCCTCACTGGCAGATTTAACTGGGAGAACATCTTCTAGTCTCGCTACGATTGATTGTGCTTCAGGAACAACATTACCTAATTGAGCTTCCTTGTCTACTTCCCCAGGCTCAGAAGGTTCCAAGTCAACAGATTCTGTTTTAGGTAAGATTTCCTTAGACGTAGAAGGTTCTCTTGCGACTACTTCAGTTTGGCGTAATTTTTCTGGTAAAACTGCAGTAAAGATATCGACTGAATGTGTTTCAGAAGCTAATTCCACAGATGCAACAGCAATTAATTTAGCCTCAGAAATTGCTTTTTCTGTTGCTGCAAGTTCCACATCAGTCGATTGTGATTCAAGAATGATATCAACAGGTGCGGGAGGATCAACCTCAGAAGAAACCGTTAAGATTGCCGAAGGATCAACTGATTGTGTCTCCGAAATCACTTCGACTGGTGAAACAGGATCAACAGCGGTTAAAACATTCTGACAAATAGTTGTTTCTGGCGCTGCGATAAGCTCCACATCAGGAAGGACCTTAAAGAGCGCCGCAGGTTCGACAGTTTGTGTTTCAGGAATCACTTCCACTGGAGAAACAGAATCCACGGCTTCTAATTCAGACTGAGAAATACTTCCTTCTGTTGCTGCAGGCTCCATAACGGTAGATTGTGATTCAGGAATGATTTCGACAGGTGCGGGAGGTTCCACATCAGATGCAATTTCTTGGGGCGCCGCTGGTTCGACTGTTTGAGTTTCAGGAATTTCTTCTACTGGAGGAACAGAATCCACTGCGTCTACTGCAGCCTGAGAAATACCTCCTTCTGTTGCTGCAGGCTCCATAACGGTAGATTGTGATTCAGGAATGATTTCGACAGGTGCGGGAGGTTCCACATCAGATGCAATTTCTAAGGGCGCCGCAGGTTTGACTGTTTGTGTTTCAGGAATTTGTTCTACTGGAGGAACAGAATCCACTGCGTCTACTGCAGCCTGAGAAATACCTCCTTCTGTTGCTGCGGGCTCCATATCGGTAGATTGTGATTCAGGAAGGATTTCGACAGGTGCGAGAGGTTCCACCTCAGATGCAATTTCTAAGGGCGCCGCAGGTTCTACGGTTTGTGTCTCAGAAATTAGTTCTACTGGAGGAACAGAATCCACTGCGTCTACTGCAGCCTGAGAAATACCTCCTTCTGTTGCTGCGGGCTCCAAAACGGTAGATTGTGATTCAGGAATGATTTCGACAGGTGCGGGAGGTTCCACATCAGATGCAATTTCTTGGGGCGCCGCTGGTTTGACTGTTTGTATTTCAGGAATTTCTTCTACTGGAGGAACAGAATCCACGGCTTCTAATTCAGACTGAGAAATACCTGTTGCTGCGGGCTGCATAACGGCAGTTTGTGATTCAGGAAGGATTTCGACAAGTGCGGGAGGTTCCACCTCAGATGCAATTTCTAAGGGCGCCGCAGGTTCGACTGTTTGTGCCTCAGAAATTAGTTCTACTGGAGGAACAGAATCCACTGCGTCTACTGCAGCCTGAGAAATACCTCCTTCTGTTGCTGCAGACTCCATAACGGTAGATAGTAATTCTGGAATGATTTCGGCTGGGGCGAGAGGTTCCACATCAGATGCAATTTCTTGGGGCGTCGCTGGTTCGACTGTTTGAGTTTCAGAAATTACTTCTACTGGAGGAACAGAATCCACTGCGTCTACTGCAGCCTGAGAAATACCTCCTTCTGTTGCTGCAGACTCCATAACGGTAGATAGTAATTCTGGAATGATTTCGGCTGGGGCGAGAGGTTCCACATCAGATGCAGTTTCTTGGGGCGCCGCTGGTTCGACTGTTTGTGTTTCAGAAATTTCTTCTACTGGAGGAACAGCATCCACTGCGTCCACTGCAGCCTGAGAAATACCTCCTTCTGTTGCTGCGGGCTCCAAAACGGTAGATTGTGATTCAGGAAGGATTTCGACAGGTGCGGGAGGTTCCACATCAGATGCAATTTCTAAGGGCGCCGCAGGTTCGACTGTTTGTGTTTCAGGAATTTCTTCTACTGGAGGAACAGCATCCACTGCGTCTACTGCAGCCTGAGAAATACCTCCTTCTGTTGCTGCGGCCTCCATAACGGTGGATAATGATTCTGGAATGATTTCGGCTGGGGCGAGAGGTTCCACATCAGATGCAGTTTCTTGGGGCGCCGCTGGTTCGACTGTTTGTGTTTCAGGAATTTCTTCTACTGGAGGAACAGCATCCACTGCGTCTACTGCAGCCTGAGAAATACCTCCTTCTGTTGCTGCAGGCTCCATAACGGTAGATAGTGATTCTGGAATGAATTCGGCTAGGGCGAGAGGTTCCACATCAGATGCAGTTTCTTGGGGCGCCGCTGGTTCGACTGTTTGTGTTTCAGAAATTTCTTCTACTGGAGGAACAGCATCCACTGCGTCCACTGCAGCCTGAGAAATACCTCCTTCTGTTGCTGCGGGCTCCAAAACGGTAGATTGTGATTCCGGAATGATTTCGCCTGGGGCGAGAGGTTCCACATCAGATGCAATTTCTAGGGGCGCCGCAGGTTCGACTGTTTGTGTCTCAGAAATTACTTCCACCGGAGGAACAGAATCCACGGCTTCTAATTCAGACTGAGAAATGTCTCCTTCTGTTGCTGCGGGCTCCAAAGATAGTGATTCTGGAATGATGTCGGCTGGGGTGGGATGTTCGACATCAGGAAGGACTTCTAAGGGCGCCGCTGGTTCGACTGTTTGTGTTTCAAGAATTACTTCCACCGGAGGAACAGAATCCACGGATTCTAATTCAGACTGAGAAATGTCTCCTTCTATTGTTGCGGGAGGTTCCACATCAGATGCAATTTCTACAGGCGCCGTTGGTTCGACTGTTTGCGTTTCCTCCACTCGAGGAACAGGATCCACGGCGTCTACTGCAGCCTGAGAAATACCTCCTTCTGTTGCTGCGGGCTCCAAAACGGTAGATTGTGATTCAGGAAGGATTTCGACAGGTGCGGGAGGTTCCACATCAGATGCAATTTCTAGGGGCGCCGAAGGTTCGACTGTTTGTGTCTCAGAAATTACTTCTACTGGAGGAACAGAATCCACTGCGTCTACTGCAGCCTGAGAAATACCTCCTTCTGTTGCTGCAGGCTCCAAAACGGTAGATTGTAATTCAGGAAGGATTTCGACAAGTGCGGGAGGTTCCACATCAGATGCAATTTCTTGGGGCGCCGCTGGTTCGACATCAGATGCAGTTTCTTGGGGCGTCGCTGGTTCGACTGTTTGTGTTTCAGGAATTTGTTCTACTGGAGGAACAGAATCCACTGCGTCTACTGCAGCCTGAGAAATACCTCCTTCTATTGCTGCAGCCTCCATAACGGTAGATAGTGATTCAGGAAGGATTTCGACAGGTGCGGGAGGTTCCACATCAGATGCAATTTCTAAGGGCGCCGCAGGTTCGACTGTTTGTGTTTCAGGAATTTCTTCTACTGGAGGAACAGAATCCACTGCGTCTACTGCAGCCTGAGAAATACCTCCTTCTGTTGCTGCGGGCTCCAAAACGGTAGATTGTGATTCAGGAAGGATTTCGACAGGTGCGGGAGGTTCCACATCAGATGCAATTTCTAGGGGCGCCGCTGGTTCGACTGTTTGAGTTTCAGGAATTTCTTCTACTGGAGGAACAGAATCCACTGCGTCTACTGCAGCCTGAGAAATACCTCCTTTTGTTGCTGCAGGCTCCAAAACGGTAGATTGTAATTCAGGAAGGATTTCGACAGGAGCGGGAGGTTCCACATCAGATGCAATTTCTAGGGGCGCCGCAGGTTCGACTGTTTGTGTCTCAGGAATTACTTCTACTGGAGGAACAGAATCCACTGCGTCTACTGCAGCCTGAGAAATACCTCCTTCTGTTGCTGCGGGCTCCAAAACGGTAGATTGTGATTCAGGAAGGATTTCGACAGGTGCGGGAGGTTCCACATCAGATGCAATTTCTAGGGGCGCCGCAGGTTCGACTGTTTGTGTCTCAGAAATTACTTCTACTGGAGGAACAGAATCCACTGCGTCTACTGCAGCCTGAGAAATACCTCCTTCTGTTGCTGCGGGCTCCAAAACGGTAGATTGTGATTCAGGAAGGATTTCGACAGGTGCGGGAGGTTCCACATCAGATGCAATTTCTAGGGGCGCCGCTGGTTCGACTGTTTGAGTTTCAGGAATTTCTTCTACTGGAGGAACAGCATCCACTGCGTCTACTGCAGCCTGAGAAATACCTCCTTCTGTTGCTGCAGGCTCCAAAACGGTAGATTGTGATTCAGGAAGGATTTCGACAGGTGCGGGAGGTTCCACATCAGATGCAATTTCTAGGGGCGCCGCAGGTTCGACTGTTTGTGTCTCAGAAATTACTTCTACTGGAGGAACAGAATCCACTGCGTCTACTGCAGCCTGAGAAATACCTCCTTCTGTTGCTGCAGGCTCCATAACGGTAGATAGTGGTTCAGGAAAGATTTCGACAGGTGCGAGAGGTTCCATATCAGGAAGGAGTTCTAAAGGCGCCGCAGGTTCGACTGTTTGTGTCTCAGAAATTACTTCTACTGGAGGAACAGAATCCACTGCGTCTACTGCAGCCTGAGAAATACCTCCTTCTGTTGCTGCGGGCTCCAAAACGGTAGATTGTGATTCAGGAAGGATTTCGACAGGTGCGGGAGGTTCCACATCAGATGCAATTTCTAGGGGCGCCGCTGGTTCGACTGTTTGAGTTTCAGGAATTTCTTCTACTGGAGGAACAGAATCCACTGCGTCTACTGCAGCCTGAGAAATACCTCCTTTTGTTGCTGCAGGCTCCAAAACGGTAGATTGTAATTCAGGAAGGATTTCGACAGGAGCGGGAGGTTCCACATCAGATGCAATTTCTAGGGGCGCCGCAGGTTCGACTGTTTGTGTATCAGAAATCACTTCTACTGGAGGAACAGAATCCACTGCGTCTACTGCAGCCTGAGAAATACCTCCTTTTGTTGCTGCAGGCTCCAAAACGGTAGATTGTGATTCAGGAAGGATTTCGACAGGTGCGGGAGGTTCCACATCAGATGCAATTTCTAGGGGCGCCGCTGGTTCGAGTGTTTGTGTTTCAGGAATTTCTTCTACTGGAGGAACAGCATCCACTGCGTCTACTGCAGCCTGAGAAATACCTCCTTCTGTTGCTGCAGGCTCCATAACGGTAGATAGTGGTTCAGGAATGATTTCGACAGGTGCGAGAGGTTCCATATCAGGAAGGAGTTCTAAAGGCGCCGCAGGTTCGACTGTTTGTGTCTCAGAAATTACTTCTGCTGGAGGAACAGAATCCACGGCTTCTAATTCAGACTGAGAAATGTCTCCTTCTATTGTTGCGGGAGGTTCCATATCAGATGGAATTTCTACGGGCGCCGCTGGTTTGACTGTTTGCGTTTCCTCTACTGGAGGAACAGGATCCACTTCGTCTAATGCCTCCTGAGAAATGCCTCCTTCTGTCGCTGCAGACTGCACATCGGTAATTTGTGATTCACGAAGTATTTCAGCAGGGGCGGTAGGTTCTAATTCAGTGAGTATGGTTCCTTGAAGGACTTCCAAAGGGGCTGGAGGTTCTACATCCATAAATTGTGTTTCAACAGGTGCATAAGGTTCCACTGCGACTATTTCAGCTGCAGGAATAATGTCTTCCGTCGCTGCAGGTGAAAGATTTGTAGAATCCAATTTGACTATTTCGGTTTCAGGAATTGCTTCTGATAAAATATGAGTTGATGGACTTTCATAAGTGTGCGGAGCATTTAGTGGATCCACAGAAAGAACAGATTCGGTGTCTGGCTCCACGGTAAGAGAATTGGACTCTAAAACGACTTCGAGCGCCGAGGATTCTACTGACGAAAATTGTGCTGTCTCTGCGAGATCGGTATTCTCCTCCTCAATTATATCCAGCGAGTGGTGATGCACCAGGTCCAATGTGCGAGCATTTATCTCGGCCAGGGCCAGGTCACTGAGCTCCTTGAGGGTATGCATCTCACTGGGTGTCATTGCGCCTGGCTGTTCCGAAGCCGGAACTGCTAGCATCGGTCCCAGGGCCATGGCAGCTAAGATCTCTATAACCGACGGCACATTCTCGTGCATTTGATCCTCGTCGATATACTCGACTGTGCTGAAACCAGTGCAGCCATCGAGGCTGGAAAGCTCCTCGCTATCGGCTTGAGCTGTAACACAAACGACTGCTAAGTGGCGATGCTTTAAGATCACGCACAAGGTTGCTGACTGAGCTACTACATGGGGGCTCCAGAGGGTCTACATTTGGACGGTTTTAATTATATAAGGGGTTAATGGTCTAAATACTATGGGTTAATCCAAATCTTAGCAGTAAGAATGATAAGGTTAAGGGTACATAAATATTGGCTGATGACAGTTACCTGCAATGGGAGTGTGAGTTAACTCCTCATTTAAAGAATCATCCTGGAATATCATGGGAGGTGGCGCGACGGATGGCACGGCTGGTGGAGACACCACAAATGCGTTAGTTGTCTCCGTAAACGCCGGCTCGTGCTCCTCTGGCAATGTGTGGGATGTGAGGCTGGTGCGATCCACCAGCTCGTCTAGGACAAGCTTTGTGTTTTGACCACCAATCAGGTGTTTGCTCAGCAGACGATCATTAAGGTCGTTGCTGCGCAACAGGTCAAGAGAACTGTCCTCAGCATCTGAGCCCATCTCGGACAGATCGCTAACCTCGTCAGCGGTCTTGTCACCAATCTGGGCCCGGATATTCTCTTTGGGTGCCGGCACAAGCATGCCAGTGCTGCTTGGAGTGACCGAGCTGCGCTTCTTTTTAAAGAGCCAGTTGTCCTCCCAGTTTCCGTCTCCGATCATGCTCGAGGAGATGGATCCAATATCTAGGATAGAGTAGCAGAAAAGTCTATAAAAAATGGACTGCAAAGTTTTTAGTTAAACTCACCTTCCTCGGACTCGGTAACGGAAGCTGAAAAGTCAGGTAGTGGCACCATGTGCGCGGCTATATAATCACTGAGGACAGATTCCCTCTCCAAATCGGCCTGCAGGGATTGGGATTTGCCATTCTGTAAAGAAATTGTACAAGATTAATGATGAATTGCATAATATTCTCCGTTTATTCCTTACATCCAGTCCGATTTCATGATCAGTAAGGCTGCAATCGCTGCGTGGTTCTATTGAACTTCCGGACGTAGTGCTCAGCGCCTCGGCATTGAAATTCTCGTCAATGTGGCGACCACTCAAGTCCGGCGTGCTCTCTGCCAAAAGCCTTGTATTCCCTTCCTTATCCGCAATCTGCAAAAGAGACAAACATCAGAAACTTGTGTCAGCCTATCGACCTTGGCATTGTGCAATAAAAGTGTTGTTGAACCCCAGAGTTTGCGATTTGTTGTGGGTCAACTGATTGTTTGTGACACCGAAAGCGGAAAGCCCTTAAGCGGATTAGACCCGGCACTACGACAGGTACATATCTATGTCTGTAGTTCTTGACGACCGTTTCTCGGCGATTCATTCTGCAGGGCGACGTCACCGATTGCCAGGGAGAACTCGTCGTATTGATTGAGTGTCGTGACAGAGGCAATTACTGGCCACGTTGCAGAAACCGATATGATTAGGAAATTGGGCTGTTAAATGCTGACTGGATCAATGACGCCGTGATAAGATCTGAATTCCTCGGCGCTGCCGATGGGATTGAGTCATATCAACATTCAACCCCGAAAGCGATAGCTGCTTATCAAGTCCTTGGACATATTTACATTATCCCCTGGATCTGACATGGTCCTCTTTATTGAATTCGTCTCCGACAGCTTTCTTCGATTTTCCTCCAAATTGATTTATCCAATTAGCTCTGGAATTGATTTCGGTATTCCTCTGTTGCGGCTACTGCTAGTGTTGCTTGGACAAAACGTCTGCACGGTTGAGACAATGGGCTGCAACTAATTAACCTGGTCCGCTTCTACTATGCGGTGACTGCTCAATCGAAGCCGCTCAAGTGCAGGTCGAATGAAAGCGAAAACTGAACGAAGTGAGCAAATGGCGGAAGTGGCCAGAACACGGCTTACAAAATGCTCGGCCTTAATGGGTAAGGGGCTGGTACCACAGGTGGTGGCCGGGACATAGGTCAGTGAGGCATATTTATGGAGCTTAGGGTAAGGAAAGTATCCATCTTATTCTCTGCAGAAAGGCATCTCCCTTACCTTATTAAGCACCGCAGTGGCCAGCAGATCCTGGTAGATCTTCGGCTCGAAGTAGTGCTCCGTGCGATGGCGTCGCTTTAGGCCATTCCCATTGGCCAGCTCCGAGGCTCCCAGTTGGGAGCGCGTATCAAGGCTGATCTCTGAGACGGCACCGCTGGCACTCAGGGACGAGCTCCGCAGGGTCTCCGCTATGATGGTCTCTATGAGACTGCGTAGTCGGGTCTGCGAGATGTCCGCCAGCTCGGAGTCGCCATTGTTATTGTTGTTATTGTTATTATTATGGTTACCATTCCCGGTACCATTGTGATGGCCATTCACGATGGCCGGCAGATCTGAAAGCAGGTGTAAAGTACGGAGCTTGATTAGTGCAAAACGAGAGCGAGAATGCTAGGGCAACAATGTGCTTGGTTAGCAAAGATCGATACAATAAAAAGTGAAAACTCGGTTACTTCTAGGTGAGGTGAGCGAGTATGTGAAAGGCGAAGAAATTAAGTGTGTGAGTGTGTGAGCTAGAGTGTAAGTGTTGTTTTAGCCATACCTAATTTCACCTCAATGACGTAAACCACGTAAAAGACAATTACGGCCACAACGGCATACATGCCCGTGACTAGGCCCAAAGTAAAGTCCATGCTGCATGCACATATACGTATTTATCTATATAGTAAAAGTATATTCGCGAATATCGTAAACGACCGGGGCCGATATTGCTGAATCGCTGATATCTCGCCTATTTGTTTATTTACGTCTGCTGCCGTTGCTGTCCGAATGCAGAGCTCGTATTTGTATTTGGCATTTGGGCTTTGTCCGGAGCTTTCATTGATATAACGGCCGACCGGCTGAGCTGTTAATTATATTGAGTTAATATTTGAGTTGGGTTTTCGCTTTGTCTCCCCTAATTGAGCTCCGAACATAAATATGTCACCGCCTCCCTAAACACGCTCCAGCGACCGGAGGGAGATCTTTAAACTGAGCTCCAGTCAGGCTGAAAATCGCGATACGAATATACGGTTCGCATATTTATCATTTTCTTTTGACATGCTAAGTCTATTAACGAATTGCGGTAAATACCACATCGCATACTGAATAACCCCGAGTTATCTATTTTGCGTTACAATGCCCGCCCATATTTCTTTATCTGCAGGCCCGCTGGCATTTACCTGGTTACCTGTCTGAATTGTTAGTCCCCCGTTAGTCATTCAGGTGTGCGAAAAAATGTCACAGCCCGAGACTTTTGTGTCCAGATCGGAGCATACATTTGCGTGCGAGTCATCAATGGAAATAGCCCCAGAAACTGGACGGATAGAACCCTAGGTAACAGAACCAGCCGGATCACTTCGCAGCGGCAACTGTTGTTCGTCGGACGCCAAAGTTCAGGGTTCAGCGGAAATCACCCAAACAATTATCGCTAGACAGAATCGAGCTGGCGTTTTTCCACTTTTAATAACTAAAACTTAATACTCCTGCTCTGTGAGTGCCTCTGCCTCTGATAATGCCCCCTCCAGATTGCGCCGACGACTTCGATCAATTAAATTTGGCCCACGATAAGTTGGGAGCACAAGGTTTAACTTGGCAAAAGGTTTATATTTTGTTAAGGTCAGAGATAAAGCTCAGCCAGGTAGTTTCATTAGCCAAGCTGAAAGTCCACGATGATACTTCACGATCATAATTTGTTGTTAATCTCGGGATCGGTTACAAACACATTCATTCAGAGCTCAAAGCGGGGATCTCGGGAATCATTAATATTTATTAGCGTTGATTAAGGCCTCTTCCTCGCCTGTCGCTTTGTCTTAACTCACGATTATTGATTTTATTTCTATTTTTGCCTATTTCATATTCGCAAACTTGGTGCCGGGTCAAGGTTTGGTGATAACTCACAACCCAATGCGGTAGCACTCTCTCACTCGCTGTTGACTTAAGGGCCTTATCTCACTAGATGGAATTTTACTTCTATATCTGCTGGCCAAATGTCTTGTTCTTGTGTTCTAGTTATGTTGTCTTATTGCCTGTTATCACACGCGTCTTGTGGCGGCCAAAATCGCGACAAATTCCGTGGGCACGGCCCGTAGCATTCAACCTGCGTTACGATCGCGGCGCGACGCTTCTGGCAACTGAAGCGGTGCCGTGCGATTGCCGAGCGGTGAGCGTCTAAACGCTCGCTCACACGGCGGAGCTAATATGCCGCCGTATCTGTGTGTGGCGGAGACCCTACAGTGGGCCCGATTGCGATGATTATTGGCCGAGAGAAGCGGTGCCCGGAGCTCGGAGTTTGGCTTTGTAATTCACAAGCCAGAGCGCTTGCTTAAATTGCTTGGCCAAGTTGTAAGCGTGACCAAATCAATCGGCTGTTAAGACACAACCCCTGTGAGGCCTGAGTGATCGTGTAAGTAAGACATTTACGCCAATTTACTGCCCGCGAACCTGTTGGTGAGCAATGCGCCAACGGTGCGTATGATTAATGCCTATCGCAGCCCGTCATCTGAGTTAAGGCTAAAATCCGGCGCTCGAGTGTTGCCCACAAAGTGTTGTATCATAATGTTCTCAATGCTAGCGGCACTTCAATGGCCCAGCCACCTTATCACTGTGTTTTAGGCCTTATCATTGCGCCTTATCAATGAACACTGACCGCGATTTCTCAGATTGGTTGTCAGCAGGTTCAAAAATAGAGAGAGAAAGAGAGTGTAATTCTATTTCAACTCTCAGTTTATGGTCCACTGATAAGAATTAGCATTTACTACAACCTGTAATCATTGATTAGTTTTATGGTCTACATGACAACCTATCAAGTTTTGTATGCATGCCAAGGCTAAGATACGTACTGACAGTGAAAGACAGTGCTTGAAAAGGTTTAAGGTTTAATTAATCAAAAATAATAATCGATAAATTTACAGCCGATATTTTCGATATCGTTTAATGGATTTGAATTTAATAAAGAAGAGTAAGAATTTCTAATATAAAACCGGGTTCAATCACTTTAGACAAAAACTACATACCAAATCAGAGGATAATTAGCATACATTAACAGGCGATTACTTTTACGATTACGATTACAGCGTGCGTGCTCGATCGATTAGTGACTATCGATTACCGATTACTTACCTCCCTTGAGCGCACGCGCGCACAAACCGTTCTCCACGTTGATAAGCAGGTTACTCAGCTTGGCATGGAATTTATCGAAGAGTTGCAAGTCTGATTTGCATTTGAATGAATCAAGTGTGTCGAGTGTGTGTGTGTGTGTTTGGGGTGTGCAAAGTTTGTTTGGTTAAAAAGCGAACGACATAAAGTAGGCAGGGGAAAGACTTTCCAGCAAGCTCTCTCGCTCGAAAGCTCGCCGGAAAGTATGCTTTTTGTTTGGATTTTGGCTGCCCGGCAACATGAGTAAGTTGCCCTAGACACATGTTGCCAGAGTCATAAATGTTGCCAAGCCAATTGGATTAAATTTGCGAAAATTTCCTTGCATTTTCGCACTCATTGAATCTGGGGCAATAAGCCCGCTGTGTACTTACAGTTCTCGCTCTTGGACAGCTGGCCCACTTTGATGTGGTCCAGATTGCCCCCCAGCATCTCGGCCACAATCTCCTCCACATACTCGCGTATCTTGGCCCTCTCATCCGAGTTGGCAGGCAATCCGATCTGGCTAACGCTCTCGAATTCTGCAACGATATCAAAGATGCATTTCCTATATCTCCATGTACAGGATGCATTATCCTTACGCATGCTGCTGTCGTTGCCGTCGTTTCCCACAATGGGTATGTAGACCTCGCTCCTGGCCCTCATCGGATAGACGAACTTGTGTTGATTGAAGGACATTTGCTCGGCCACCCATGAGGAGGTGTGCGCCAGAGACTCCTTGGAGCTCTGGCACAGCTGGCACTCCCACGAGGCGTCCTTGGGCCGCCAGTCGGCGCACTTGAGTCCCCGACAGACGGACTTTCCGCAGGTGCGACATGTCACGTAGCTGGGAGAAGGAGGAGGAAAATATAAACAAAGTTGGTAATCAATAGGATGCTCTTGCCGACCTCTTACTGCAATCTTGAAAAAGCGCCTTTAGAAACTTTAGTAACATTTGAAATACTGTTTAAAAATACAACCCTTCAACAAATATTTACTTCTATCTGATCTCAGTTTTAGATTTCTCAATATCAGGCCAAAGTTTGTTGTTATATAAATAACTTGTTTTAATCAGAACCGGAGAAAGTGGGTCTTCGATCTTGGTTTTTGTTTGACGAAAAGTTTATCTTATGGGAATATCTTTCTCTGATTATAAGTGTTTGTTTGTATTTTTAACGGGAATATGTTCTCACTGGATTTTACTCACTTTTTGGCACTGCTCAGATCCAAGTCTGCACAGCAGACGTTGCAGCTGTGATCCTCGCTGGTCTCCTCCTTCCTCCACTTCTTATTGGCTAGTTTACTGTAAGAAAAAGGCGGAAGAATACCGCAGATGTTATTCCGAGAACGTTTAGGTTGCTTAGCCGAAAACTAAGCGATTAGTCAGGTCAGTTCTAGCCAACAGCTGGGGTTATTCAACGGCCAGAAGGTCGAGATAAATAATCAGCTGAAAAAAGTAGCAGCTAATTAACGATCGGGGTTGCCTAACTTTTGAACCCCGTCAGCGTGCAAACACTTCCCGTTCCATTAGCTTATATTTTCGGGCCAAAGCCCAACTGCAATTGCAGTCGGCGGCAATTGACTTTCCCCATCGCTCTCCCGCCTCCCAATTGCATAACATGCTAAACCCGTTGGACCAGGCAAACAAAAATCAACGGTTTGGTTGCTTTAATAGCCAAGTTTATTCAACTCACTGAGGCAGTGGTATCCAGTATTCGGTATCAGTATCCAGTATCAGTATCGGGCAACTTAAAACACAAGTATCTATATAGTACGTAGCTGTATCACGCGGCTTACTGGCTAGAGAGATATGCACTCGGATTATGTCAGTCACTTACAGTTCTTACACAAGACGAGCCAAGAAGGGAATTCCTAGGTGTCTTGTACGTGCTCGAACTGAGCAATTGCTGCTGCCTAACTTATTCAAATGGCAAATTTCGCAATTTCGCTTACAAACAAACACAAATAAATTTAATGAGAAAAAAAAAACGTCAACCATAAACAGAGAGCAAAAACATTACACACTTGAAACATTTCAATAATTGGTATGCGCCATTAAACGCCATGGAAAATAATAGGTATAGGTGTAGGGAAAGACTCAGTCAGTATGTGTACCTATGTACTTAGAGGCCCTACTACTAGTCTTAAGCCTAATTTAAGCCTAGATTTCAGTATACTAAGTCACCAGCTGTTGCTGCTGCTGCTGCTGGAGGCGCTGCTGCTGGCGCTGGTGGAAGCGCATCCTCCGACGCGCCCAGTGCTCGAAGTTGTTCTCCAGATTCTCGTAGTAGATCTGTTCTTCGTCGCCCTCCGGCCCGCCACCCTCCTCCCAGTCGTCGGGTGGGCCAGATCGTCCAAAGACCGGATCACTGGTGGTCATCTTGAGCAGCACCACCTCCATGGTGCAGGCCATGAAGAGGAATCCCAGCACCGCGAAGCTGATGGGCAGGCACATCAGCCGCTCCACCTGGCAGATGAGCGACGCGGCGAACAGCATTCTGTGGATCTCCGTCGATCTCCGATTGGGCCTTGGCTTATGTTCCTGCTCCAGGTACGATGTGTCAGTGCTCTCAGGTAGTCGAAGTGTTTGTCGGGTGAGTATCTCCGCTCTGTTTGCTGGGACTTGGCATGGCACTCGCGTTGAATCGTTCGCCTTTTCGCCAATGGAAGCTCATAAATGTCAATTCGCAAGCGCTATCGGCTTCGAATTCGAATCCAAATCTAAATCCAATTCGCGATCCGCGTCCCGCGACACTGACAACTTTCTCGCACAAGGTTCGCCTTTGCTATGCGCAGTTGGCTTTGAGAGTCGGCGGTCAGCTGAGATCAGGTATCGGGTCTCCGCGGCTAGGCTATAGTCTCTCCATATCTATGACTATATCACTGGGCTCCATGCCGGTTTTTTTTTCGCTGGCGGAGAGCGGGAGAAACGTCCAGAGCGTGGAGCTCGCTCGCAGCGAACTCGTCAATGACGTAAGATACGAGTATTCCCCCCCGATCCGAACGGGTCTCTCTATATACTATATAGCGGAATCTCAGCCATGACTGGGCATATTTTCATGCAGATTTATAGCCTTTCTTCGGCTGGGACACCGCTCGGCTGCAAGAGAGCGGGGATCTGGTCAAACAGGAACCGTGTGTGACGGCAGGGGAATACACAGATACTCCGAAATCAGACGACAGCATCATCATCACTATCCGCATATGCATTCATTTGTCTACTAATTTATTTTTGGCAATATTTTTCCCGCTCGGCGTCTCTCGGCCTGAACTTCATTAATTTCCAAATGCTAATTGTGAGAAACATTCCGCAAACGAGTTGGCGCGATTCTTGTCTGGCGATTTTAATGTATGCATGCTCCGAGCGGTTTATTAACTAATCAATCGAGCGGTGACTGGATTCGAGTTTATTTTAATTATTATTTCGGCCATAAACGGCGCCACAACCCGGCAACACTTTCATCAGTCCAACTCAGAGCCTAAAGTACAGGGAAGAAGTTTCCGGAGAACACAGAACTTGCGATACAGATCTCTCTCTCTCTCGTTTGAGATTCCCTTGAAATCTGTGCTAAGAATCTGGGTTAATATATGTAAGTCTCATGTGGCCCATTAGCATATTCCCGCACGAGAAAGCCTCAGGTCTTCAGGTTCTCTGTTCTCTTGCTAATATAAATCAGCTTTCACAGCCGCTTCATTGATAACTTTGTCTTCCCAGAAGATTCATAAATTTTTGTCACAAGACCGAGAGAGGGGTTTATTAAGTGGATTCAGCAAATCGTTTTATTAAGCTTAAAAAATTGAGATAACTGAAGAGTCGGTGTCACTTCTACTAACTTATAATTGCAGTGATATCATCTACGACTCATCAACTTGGTCTTCAATGGTGTTATCTTTATGTCTTTGCCAATATTGCAATCTTAAAAACTATTAAAACTGATTATATTAAATTAAAGCCTAAAAGCATGCAATCTAAACCACCTTTGGCACACCTTTAACCACAAAATTGGCATAAAATTACACCTAAATCATATATAAGGATATAGAAAACTTTGTTTAAATATTTCGCACACTTTTTTAGGCCTGCAGCCAATTTGGTAATGTTCTTACTCTCACAACTTGGCTTTAAACCCACTTTCCACTTCAGCAAATGCTTGGTAGATAACTATAACTTTTTCTGGCTTTTCACTTGCCACATATATAACACAACCCGTTTTGTTCTTACTTTAATAGCAAATAAAAACTGAGAATATCTGTGCATATCTCCAGTGCGGCATCGTTCAGCGTTAATTGCATTTGCCTGACTTTCCACAACTTCACAACTTGTTTTGCCGCCAGCTTTAGCCGCGTTTCTTAGCCACTTCAAGTGCCAAGACGCATTTCAATTTAAAGTCGAGATAGGCAACTATTTAAGCTTTTGTTTAAAGAAGATTAGATCTGAAGATCGAACTTTGTTATTTAAATTTGACTTTACTATAAGTATCTTACAGTTGCGAAACGTAAATTCCCTTCAAAATGAAGTAAGGCCGTCGCCACAATGGTAATGCTAATAAAATTGTCAACAAAACGGCTAATTAACTTCCCATTGAATGGTGACGAAAGGCAAACAATGCGGGGGCGTTGTTAGCTCCGGCTAATTGTTATTGGCAATTCGTGACGCTTTTTAGCGGGGCAAAAAAAATGCGAATAATAGAGGAAAGTAGTGACCGTGCCCTTTGTTGGCCAACGACTTCCGCTTGCCGTTCTCAAGATTCTTTTGGTTATGGTTCTTAGCGCCAAATTTGCGGCAAGTCAACGGACCAGTAATGTTATGAAACGTCTAACGGACCAGGCCAGACCCCATCGATCTGGCATTATTACAACAGGTGCAGCATAAATTCGAAACAGGTGCCATGGATTGGATTGCGCAATCCTTAATTAAGGCAAAGCTACGTACTCAATGCCCAAAGAAATCAACTGCAACGGTGGCAAGTGGCAGCTGGAAAAATGGCAACAATTATGTCAAATCTCTTTTTTTTTGAGCGAAATGCTCTTTCTCTTGCCATTTCCCACACGCAAACGCAATCAAGTCATGCGAAACGATGGACACGTAACCCGGAGAGTTCAGTTTCGGTTTCTATTTGTGTTTATCTCGAGCTGAATATACAAGTATCTGCATCTGTAGCTTCAAATGCATCTGCGTTTGCCATCCGCACGTGCGAGTCCCGGGCTCAGCTCACGTATCCGAACTTGAACCATTGGACATCCATGGGATGCATTAATTCGCCTATCTCGGTTCGATTAACTCACCCCACGAGGCACTGGGCGCCACACTGCAGCAGGTAGGCTCCTCCGATGAGGCCCACCACGGATGTGAGACCCAGCAGCAGGTTCCCGCTTCCCGGTCGATTGATTGGCAGCTCCATGAGAGAGATATAGGGGCGCATCCAGCGCTTTAAGCACTGCGGAGTTCGCATTTAATTAAATTTTATTTTCGATTATAATGCATTTCCACCAGAAGCACACGCACACTCGCGAAGACTTTTCGATTTAATTCCAATCCTTTTGAAATCTGCAATCCGACTAAATCAAAGAATTGGCTGCCCTATAAAACTATTTCGTATTATCAGACCCAAAAGTTATTTCCGTATCATTCTCTCCTCGTTTTTCTGTGTGAGTATTTTACGTGTTTCTTGGCCAATTCATACTTTGGCCTCAGCCTTATCAAAAAGTTTTTGTTTGTTCGGTTTAATTTACCAAGATTCCGACGTGCAGCTGTATTTGTGAATACCCTTTGCAGGGCATTTGAATTCCGACAAGTTTTTGGTTTGCAGCTGGGATTTAGAATCGAATAGATTGAAAGTATATAAAATCAGGTGGCAAAAGTTGTTTTGAAAAACATCACGTCTATAAATACTTTAACGTACAGTTCAATAAGCTGAGTAATACTTTTTAAAGTCGTGAGGTATTTGAAGCATATTTCTTTACTTAAAAAGGGAAATAATCTTAAATTTCTTAATCACTTAGAGAGAAATCTATAAATCTTATCCCATAGCTGGGATCTGAAAATAACTCTAACTGCAGTCGCAATTATTTGACTCACGTAGTCTGGCAGTTATTTACTTAAGTGTTTTTCTTTGTCTTTATTTTTTGCACACCACGATTAGCACTAATTAAAGTTGATAAATGTACGAGTGTTCTTTTTGCAAACTTCTTATCGACTTATTGCTTCTGACTAGCGAGATCTTTGACGAGAGTTGCATAACATTGCTGGGCTTTGCATAAATAATTTAACAAAATAATAGCTTCTTGAGTCTGCGTGTGCTTCTAGGAAAAAGATAGCTTAATTATCGCGTTATTCACTTCACTTGGCATTAAACTTTGGGTATTGTTTTTATGGTGTTTTTTATTGTATGGTGGAATCTTCCAAGTGAACCGAAGTGAACTTCACTGGCGAATATCTGAATAAATAATTACCACAAATTTTGATTTTTCGTTTGGTTTGTTATTCCTGTTTGCAGTTATGTACGACGATTATCAATCACTTGTCGGGGGGAATATCTTTTCCTGTACATGTGTTTTTCGGAGGTGTTTGCCACACGAAGTTGGCCCGCTAATTGCCATCGCCCCCGCCGCTCCGATCACCCTCGTCGCGGCCGCGATCTTCAAAAAAATACCGACGACAAACCGAGGCAGAAATTGAAATAAATCGCGGCTATTTACCCGCCACAAAAACTGATTAAGATCACGGGTCTGGGGCTAAAAGGGCCTTCTCCACGACGATCTTCAAGTTGGCGATTGGAGCAGCTGACTCCGACTGCGGCGATAGCGACTGGAGAGCGGCGACAGGTTTGTTTTAGCCAAGTTATATTCGGCTTTGTTTACTCGGTGCCTTGCAATATATAATATATATAACTGGGCTATATGGGCATTATAATGGATTTTGTTTGCCCATTTCGTTATTGCGGATCGCGTATATAAGGCTGACTGTTGATTTGATAAGAGTTCCGCTCACGTCCAGTGATAAATATATATATATATATATCTGTATCTATATATAAGGGTATCGCGACCAAAAATTCACAGATAAGTGTCAAGACTGGGTCTCAGGTTAAGTCACAACGAGGTATCTGTACTCATATATACTCTTTCCAAGTGGGTTAATTCTCTAGCATAATATTGTTTCGAATATTTATAATTTTTTGGGGTTTTTTGTCGAATTATGTTTATTTTTTGTAGGTTTTTTTTTTGTGTGCGTTGCGGGCGAGTAACCAAAATGGAACTGGCCATTATTGGGCCAGAGCTTTGCAGCCCATGCAACAAGAGGGTGGAAACCAAATCCCTATTGAGCTGCCGCCCAAAGTACGTGGGGCAAAAAAGATGTGGCAGTTATGCCTCCACCCCACCTCCTTCTTCATACATATGTATTGGCATTCCGCATTGTCCAACGGACCTTATGCAAATGCAAAATGCCACTTGGCAGCTGCCAGTCACATGTCCGCTTGTCCCCAGCTTGGCTTGTGGCAAGAGTTGGTGGCCCGAAAGAAAAACAGCGCCGAATCGATTGGCCCTGCCATTGGCCATGCAAAGCTCACGGCAATTAATTGGTATTAATCAACTTAATTATGAAATATACGATAAGATTGCGGCTCCACTCCTCCCCAGGCGGCGATACTCGTGCGGAGAAGCGGAATTGCCATGGAGTGGGTAACGGGTTTCGGAGCTTAATATCCGTCTAGCCGATTCTGGAATGCCCTATGGAAATCGATATTTAATGATCCAAAAGTATTTATAGTCAAAATTCAATCAAATCGTTTTAATCTAACAGGTTAACCTGGGGGGTTTGTTTATAACAAAGGGATGCTCGCAACATATATTTATTTCATATATAAATCATTTCATATATAAATCCATTAAAGAATATTTATATTTGTATAAATATGACTATGAACTTCTTGGAAATTCCGCCTGTAAAGTACACATACCGCCCAAATAAAGTTCACATATACATATACAATCGACAGACAAGCCATAAAGTTTAAAGAGGTCTCTTTACTTATGATCGTCAAAACTGGGTTGGTCACCCATTATCATTCTAATGGAACTTCCCCGCCACTTTACATTTTCCTCAAACAAATTGCAAACTCATTTGAGAGCTCTGCTGGGTTTCTCTTTGACAATTGTCGAAACGGATTCCCAGAAATGGATTCGCAAAACTGCTCACGGAATGACTTCTGGCTGTATGAATGACATGGCTGACTGGCTGGCTGAGTGACTGACTGCGCCCGAGATTTTGTCATTTCCATTTTGAGGTCGAAAAATTTGCATAAATTGATATCCGCCCGCAGTCAGAGAGCTGGAGATGCATGCAACCAAATGCGTTGGCATAAGCTTGTGGGCACTAAAGCGCACCCAAGAAAGCCTGGCCAATCCCAGCTGCCAGTTGCCAGTTGCTTCCGTTCTGGTCACAGGGAGAGAAAATTTCAGAGAATTGAGGCAGAGATTCTAAAGATTCTTATAAAGTTTTAAAACTAAGTTAAAAACTATAAATATCTATAAAACGTTAAAATGGCAATTATTTCTAATATCTCTATCGTATATTCTTTTTAACAATCGAGTTCAAATTAAAACGGTTTTCCAAACATTTATGCAATATTTGACCCATATCGTATTACCTTTTGTAAGGGTATTTGATTGTGATAACTTATTCATTAGATTAAGCAAAGAATTGCTATTAAAAGAGACCAAACAATGCAAAGTAAACACCAGATTAGGCCTTAGCTCTACAGATTTCCTCCTTAAAAATCGGATAAGTACAAAAACGCCTTCCCCATATTAAAAACAAACCTTAGGCTGTTTAATAACAAAAATAAATCAATTTAATATCGAATAATATGTCTAAAATGTTGTTTTACTTTTATAAATTCTAAATTTTTCTCTGTGCACTCACCTTAATCTATCGCGCAGCTGCTGGTGGTTGAGATGGTCCCGCTGCAACAGCTGAAGGATGCGGTGGCACTGCTGCAATCGCTGGCGCCTCCGCAAGGTCGGCGTTTCCGTCTCCAGTACCGCAATTCCGCTGTCCACGCTGCTGTTCAGCTGCTGGGCAGGACTGCTCTCCTTGCTGGCGTTGCTATGGTTGCTAGAAATGCAGCCCGCAGGCGATGTTGGTCCTGCTGGGGAGGCTTCGCCTGCCATGTTGCCGGCTTGTGGGGCTGTGAGTTCGTGTGATGTGCGTGTATGCAGTTTGTTTGCGAATTCAGATTAGCCCTAAGCCATTTCCGCACTCGTGTATCTCATGGATGCGAATGCAAGCTGTCACTTCTCCTCTCACGCACATGAAACGCTTTTCCAAACAAATTCGCTTCGCTTTGCTTTTATTTTTTATGTGTCGCCGTTGTGTTGTTCACTCTGCTTTTTGTGTGTTAATTACGCGCCGGTTACGACCATTGTTTTGCCACTGGAAGCGGGCCAGCCAGCACTGCCTTCGACTTGGGCACCCAAAAAAAAGTCGCTTACGGAGCAGCTTATCAGCCGGCGCGATATACAAATTCTTCGCACAGACTTCCCATCGAGAGTGTGCGTATGTATGGAGTGCCGTGCTTGGTTTGTGCCTGGGAGCGTTCGCTTTCGTACTGCAATCAAGGGAATTTTCGGTTTATTTTTACTGCTGCTGACTCTGGCTGGGACCCATAAACAAATGCGGCAACAGATAACGAACTTCTCGCCCCCAGCTCAGCTCCCAGATAGCCAGAATCTTGCCCCCGCCCCGTTCCCATCTCTTGACGTCAGCCCTGCGTTGGTCTGTTGTCACCTTCGAGACGAGATCCGTGAGATATGTAGCATCTAAAGGGCTGCACCCAGACTGAAATATGCATACCGCACGCCCAAATATGTAGATTTCGGGCACGTAATTACGCAGAGTGCATCGATTGGGGCCAGTTAACCCATTCGGGTACGGCCTGCGCCGCAATGGGTTAAGTGGCTCAACGGTTCATCTTCATCTACCGAAAACCCTCGGGCGTGCGGGCCAGCATCCCAGGCGTGCGTGCGCGTGTGTGAAAATATTTGGCGAAAAAGGCCAAAAACAGAAATCCCAGCAAATTGGAAAAGAGAAATTCTTGAGCCACACGGCTCTTTTCTCCATTATTTTTGGCCAGTTAAATGGTTGACTTGAAATGCTGACAGTGTGTCTGCCAGAGTATCTATGGATGGATGGATAGATATACCGACGGATGGATGGATGGATGGTTGGTTGGTTGGACCAAACAAGATGATTACGACTTTGTGCCGCATTTGACGCACTTGTTGTTCAGAGTTTAGTGTTTGCTGTTCAGTGTTCAGAGCTTGTCCGGAGACAAGCCAAAAACCGAATACCAAAAACCAAAGAAATAAAAAAAGAGCTCGCCTGCGGGCCACCAAAGAAATTTCTATTGAGTGAAAACCAGAAAGCCAGACTTCAAAATGTGGAAATGTTGAAATTCTGTGAATGGGATTTGCTGGGGATTTGGAAGATAATTTAGGCCGTGCAACACACACACACAGCATGATGATATGCAGTTCCCGAACAATGCAGCAATTAAAAATGCATTTGCCATATGCATACATATATACCCGGGCCCAAATCCGTTAGCAGCGTTTTGCATATCATTTCGTTCGGGGTTGGTCAACTGAAATTGATTTCAAATCCAAGTGCATTACTCAATATGCATCTGTGTTGCCCGCATATCGTATATATCCCTCGCTTTGTAAGTATGTTTTCATATCCACCAGCTTGGATTTGTGCAATTTTCACACAATTGTTCGCGGCATTCGCATGGCATGTCGAATTAAGTTGTTACAGTAACTAATCTGATGATTAATTAGACAACAATTTCAAATGCAATTGGGTCGCCCGTAAATGGGTCAACTCCATCCGGAGAACTGGCTAAAGACCTCAGCTCATGCCGCATGCCGGGGCTAGCTGATGGCTCAATTAATTATGACAGCGTTTTACTACACAGAGAGATATAATGAAGGTGGTTTTATTTGGACATGACTGAATAAATGGCGTTGGCTTTTGACGTGAAATTCTAGACAATTTTCTAAGATATGATTCATACAGAGGTCTTTATAAGAAATCACTTGATAAGATAAAGATATAGATTGTCAGGGCAATACTTTCTTTGAGCACGTGCATAAAAATATAGAAATTTCAGTCATAACAAATGGAATTGAATTTAAATTTCATTCAATATTAGTTCTTATAAGATATGATAATATCCATTAACGTACTTAGGATGAGGAAATGTGCTCAAGAGGTATAAATTTAACAACAATCGGTTAAAATTCTTAAATAAACCAAAGTAGTATATTTTCTCTTGTTTTGTTTTTATAATTTTTCAATAAAAACCTAATTTTACTATGCTCTTTCGTAGCTCCTAGTTTCTATACGTCCATTTTTCTCTGTGGACCCTTGCAAATATTTGAAGGTAAGGCTATTTATCAAGCAGCGGGTGGAGTCCGAGATGGAGAGTTTGCGTTGAAGAGATGTCGACTGAGGTGATAGAGGTGAGCCCGCTTCAAGGTGGCTTTTACTAACGGTTTCACACTCTCTTACCGGCCAGCTTTAATTGCCACAAACACACATACAGATGCTACGATAGTAAGACCAACACAGATGCATCAGTCATGGAGCCCGCAGGGCGCAGCCGCAACTGCCGATTCATTGGGAAATTAGTCAAAGCAATTCCACGCCAATGATGCGTTGCTCCGCCGAGTTTCTTTTTGTGGTGAACAGCTCAGTTCACCTTCCCTCGCACCTTTGCCCCCCTGGCCACCCTCAGAGCAGCAACAACAATCTGCTTAAACGAACGGAAGTCGACAGAGTAGACGCCAGTCGCTGGTTAATACTGTTAACCGATGCTGTCCGATTGGTTTTGGTTACCTCAGTTTTCTTATTTTTCTCATTTTTTCTCGCTGTTACTACTTGCTCACTTTTGTTCGTTTTCAATTTACGGGTGAAATGGTTGTTACTTATTTTTTTTCGTTTGTAAAAGTTGTTTTCGCTGCCTCGGCTAACAAGAAAATAATGAACAAAAAATAAGGCACACACGCGCAGAAGCCAATGGCAATGATTGGATGCCGGCGGAAGTGCAACTTGTTGCCATTTCCCACACTCGCAGGGGTTG